ATCTTCCAACACTTCTTATTCAAACTTGTTTTGGTTATTCTAAGTCTTTCGCATTATCATGTAAATTTTGAAAGCATCTCTGCATTTCTACAAAAGAAAAGAAAACCACTGGGATTTTGATTGGCATTCTATTGAGTTTCTGGATAAATTTCAGAATGTCTTAATAACATTGAATCTTCCAGTTAATTATCATGCTATCTTTCTATTTAATTATTCTTGACTTTTCCTCAGCAATATTTTGTAATCATCAATGTACAAAATCTTGTGCATATTTCGTTAAATTTATCTCTAAGTATTTTTTATGCCATTAAAATGGTATTGCTTTTTAATTACATTTTTTAAATATTCATAACTTGTCTAGAAAAATATTATTTTTTTAAAATAAATTTACTTATTTAGTTTTAAGTACACAATACATTGGTTAGACATCTATAATGTTCATAAAACAATCCCCCCCAATTGCTCCCTCCTTCCTCTGGCCCTCCTCCTAACCATCATATTAATGCCAACTGCATTCTCTCTGCCATGCTCCCTATCCTCATGCCCAACTATCAGCTAGTAATTTGTACTTCTTTAATCCTTCACCTCATTCTCCCAGCCTCCCAACCCCCCTCCCCTCTGCCTGTCACCAAATTGTCCACTATATCTGTGAATCTGTTTTTGATTAGTTTGTTCTTTTTGTTCCTTAGATACACATATAAGTGAAATCATATGGTATTTATCTTTCTCTGACTTATTTCACTCAGCATAATACCTCGAGGTCCATCCATGTTGTTGCAAAGGGTAGGATTTCATTTTTTTTTAATGGCTGAGTAATATTCCATTGTATAAATGAATCATAATTTCTTTATCCAATCATCTGTTGATGGGCACCTAGATTGCTTCCAAATCTTGGCTATTGTAAATTGTGCTGCCATGAATATTAGAGTGCATAGATCTTTATGAATTATTGTTTTGATTTTCTTTGGATAAATACCTAGAAGTGTAACCACCAACAATGTATGAGTGTTCTCTTTTCTCCACATCCTTGCCAGCACTTGCTGTTTTTTGATTTATTGATGATAGCCATTCTGACAGGTGTGAGTTGATATCTCATTGTGGTTTTAATTTGCATTTCTCTGATGATTAGCGACCTTGAGCATCTTTTCATATGTCTATTAGCCATCTGTATTTCCTCTTTGGAGAAGTATCTGGTCAGGTCTTCTGCCCATTTTTTAATTGTTTTCTTGTTGAGTTGTATAAGTTCTTTACATATTTTGGATATTAACCTTTATCAGATGTATCATTAGCAAATATCTTCTCCCAGTCGGTTGTGTTTTTGTTTTGTTGATGGTTTTCTTTGCTGTACAAAAACTTTTTAGTTTGATGTAGTCCCATTTGTATATTTTTTCTTTTGTTTCCCTCCCCTTGCCCGAGAAGATATATCTGAAAAGAAATTCCTGTTAGTAATATCAGAGAGTTTACTGCCTATGTTTTCTTCTAAAAGTTTTATGGTTTCAGGTCTTACATTTACGTCTTTAATCTATTTTGAGTCTATTCTTGTATATGCTATAAGAAGATAGTCCAGCTTTTTTTTGCATGTTATCTGTCTAATTAGAAAAATACAATTTATTTTTGTATCTTGACATTTGAACCCTGCCATCTTGCTGAATTATTAGTTCTAGTAACTGTTTTATAGATTTTTAAGGATTTTCTACATAAATGATTATGTCATCTGAGCATGATGAGAGTTTTACTTCCTCCTTTCCAATCTGATTTTTCTTTCTTGTACCTTATTGCATTGGTTAGTAATCTCCAGCACAATGTTGAACAGAAGTAGAGAAAGCAGACATCTTTACCTTGTTCTCAATCTTGGGAAGAAAGTATTCATTTTCATGCTATCAAAAGTAGGTTTGTCATAGTTGCCATTGATCAGGATAGGGAAATTTGCTCTATTCCTAGTTTGCCAAGTTTTGATCATGAAAGAAGTCTAAAATTTTCAAGTTATTTTTTTCTGCATATTGAGTTTTTTTTTTATAGTGTTGATGTAATAAACTACCCTGATTGCACTTTGAAATCTGAACCAATCTCACATTCCCAAGATGAACCCTATTTTCTTAGTATATGTCATCCTTTTTATATATTGCTGGATTTTACTTGGTAAAATTTCTGCCTGTATGTTTGCACATGATATTGGATAATAATTTTCTTCTCATCTTTGTCAAGTTTTGCTATCAGTGTAATGCTGGCAATATTAAATGTGTTTGGAAGTATCCCACCCTCTTCTATGTTCTGAAAGAGTTAGTATAAATTTAGTGTTATCACGTCCTTAAATGCTTGGGAGAGTTCAATAGTAAAGTCAACTGGTCCTGCGGTTTTTTTTGCAAAAAGTGTGTATGTGTGTGTTTTATGAGAGAAAAATCGTTGTTGTTTTTTTTTTTCGCTAAAGATTAAAATTACTAAGATGGATATGGAGCTATTCAAGTTATTTTTTTTCTTTTGTAAGCTTTGGTAGTTGGTGTCTTTCAAAAAATTTGCACATTTCATCTGTTTATTGGCATAAAAATGTTCTTAGTATCCCTTTAATGTCTGTAGAATCTATAGTGATGACACCTCTTTAATTTCTGACATTAGTAATTTGTGTCTTCTTTTTTTCTTGATCAGTCTGGCTAGAGGGTTTTATTATGTTGATCTTTACAAATAATTAATTTTTGGTTTGATTTATATCCTCCTTTTCTTCTGTTTCATTCTATTTGTTTTGCTGGCTTTGGTTTTATTTTCCTGGTTCTTTTTTCTAGTTTCTTAAGACAGAAGTTTAAATTATTGAAATGAGGTCTTTCTTCTCTATTGTAAGCAATTGTTATAAATTTTAATCACTTTCATTTAATTAAAAATATTTTCTAATTTTCCTAGTGATTTCTTCTTGGAGTTTTTTTTCAGATATCTTTCTATTATTTATTTCTAGTTTAATTCCATTGTGCTTAGACAATATACTTTGTATGATGTCAAACCTTTAAAGTTGATGAAATTTGTTTATTCCTCAGATTATGGTCTTAGTGAATGTTTCAGGGGCACTTGTCAAGAGTGTATTCTATCATTGAGTTGAGTGACCTGTTAATGTTAATTAGGTCAAGTTGGTTGGTAGTGCTGTTCAAGTCTTCTGTACTAATTTTCTGTCTACTTGTTCCACCAATTACAGAAAAAAGTATCAAAGTCTCTAACTATAATAATTATATCTCATATTAGTAATAGTATGTTTCACTTTATGCATATCGAAGCTCTATTGCTTGCTATATACATATTTAGTAGTTATATCTTCTTGATATAACTGACTCCTTTCTCTCAGATTCATACTCTATCCTTCTTTTGCCTAAAATCTAACCCAGGAGACAACTTTACAGATTACATCCTTGCCCTCTGTTTTCAGGTTGGTTTTGGCCAATGAGATGTACCGTGGAGATACTGGAGCATGGAAGGAAACAGGTTTGGGTACTTAATCCTTTCAGCTCCTTCTTGCTGGGTTGCAGGTTGGCAGTGGCTGTGTTTTTCTATGAAAGCACAAATAGATGGCTATCGGGTAGGTGGCTATCTCCTACAGCAGGTAAGTCTCCTTTGACTCTGGTAATTCTTTCCCTTACTCCCCAGGCCTACAGTAATAATGACTGGTTGGTTCTGGTTGCTTCATCATCACTTTGTTTTCAGATAACCCTGTCCACACCTTTGTAAATAGCCCTTTCATTAAGCACCCTTCAATCACCTCTCTGGAGTATGCCATCTGTTACCTACTGGGGATTCTTACTGCTATGATACGTGTTATCGTACTTGCTTAAATTATTCAGAGAATTTATTTGATTCTTCCCTTTCCACTCACTGGTTCAGCCAAGTTTATCACTCAATATCAGGAACTTGAAAAAGGAATAAGTGGGCTATTAGAATGTTTTGAATAGAGGAAGAAGTAATAATGACTATATTGACCCAGTTCTCCTAAACTCAGCAGCGCCAGTGCCCAATATTCTCATACTTAGGCACTATTTCCTAGGATTTGTTGTAGATGACACTATGTGTCATACTAAAGACGCCACAAGGACCATAAACGAGCTGCAGTGATTCCCAACAAAGAATGAGGTCTCCTCATACATTGACTGAGTGTAATAGACATGGCACCCATCACAGCAGTCCTAGGTTGCGGTTCGAATAGAGATCATACTGTGTCTTTCCCCATCTCAACCTATTTGTCAGAAAATGTGCGGTGTTTTGTTTGAACAGAAGAGTTATGACAGGCTCCCTATGCAGGAATTAAACGCAAGATAAACTGTATTGTGGAGGAATGGGCAATGGCGAATACTCAAATTACAGCAGCACGTTGGAATGATAAATTCTCGTGTTTTTCTTGAATCTAAAGGCGGTAATATGCTGAAATGTGTTCTCTTAGACTGAAATCTTAAGAGCTTTTCAAGAAGACTTAAAAAGGATTAAAATGCTGCGAACGGGATACACTTTTACAAAAGCATTCAGGTTTAAATGACTTAAACCTGTCCGGATGCGTTGCATAAAAATGTAGCAACAGTTTTCTCATCAGTGTTTCCATACTTTGGATTAGCCTCATTTTTGCACTTGTTTGGCTCCCTATCCATGAACAACGGGCATCCTCAATCTCAACAAGAGTTGCTGGCACTAGAGGGGGAAGGAGATAGGATGGGGCGGCTCTGAGTGTGAATGAGACACTTGCTTCGGATACACTCGAATTAAGGTTTTTTCTCAAGTCCCGCCGTAGAATTACCCCGCTGTCCCTATACCTTGCTCACCTCAGCTTCAGTTTGATTCTCCTGGCCCAGTGAAGCCCCGCCTTCCGGCCAAAGCCACCAATTAAAACTAAAAATGAAAAAGAAAAAAGGAAAAAAAAATTAAGCGAAAGCCGTACTAACTCCTTGGATCGTCGACTCTCGCGAGAACTAGCGGGTACTTGGCGGTCCTGCGGAAACCTCGCGAGCAGGCCTCCGGAGGCGGGCTCTGCTGTGGCTCCGCCCTTCCTGAGCGCGGGCGCACCTTGGCGGGAATTTCACTTATTTGGGATTTAGAACACACGACTCCGGGACCGTGGTCCGGACTGCTCTGGGCGCACCTCTGGGCCTGAAAGTGTGAGTAGGTACGAAATGCAAATAAGGGGCCCCCCGGTGCGCAGGGCACCGGCTCCCTTTGCCATTTGCCCGGTTCATGCCGGTCTCTGCCCTGTGCGGACCTGGCGAGACTTGTCCCCCCAGCTGGGAGCAGTACTGTTGGGGGTGGGGTGGCGCCGGCCCCCCGATTCCCGTCGCGAGGCTATAAGGGAGATTTTTCAACGACGGTGCGGGGAAACCGGCATTGTACTGTTTAGTAACCTAGGGGAGGGTGCAGGTTCAGGCGGTTTCGGGAGTTGAAGCTGTATCTGTCCTACAAACATTTCCTCTTTTCCCTGTCCAACTTTGCTGGGTCCGATGTAGAGGGGATTTTAAGTTCCTGCTACAGCCAGCCGCGGGTGCATTTTGCCTAAGTTCTGACAGTCTTGATCTTGGTGACTCGGTGGGAGAGTTGACGGGAATTTGGCTTCTTAGTTTTTTTTTCTTTGTGCTGGGAGGGAGGCGTTTTGGGAACTTTCTGAAGTCGCTCCCAATGTCTAGGCCCGCCCCACCTCCAGGGCTCTCATCACAACTTATTTGGAACCCTTAATGATAATTACAGTGAATCCCAAACATTTCAGGACATGACGTAAACAATGGATATGTGTTCCACTGCGTCGATGTTCCTGACCGACAGCTTGGAACTGGAACTGGGGACTGAGTGGTGCAACCCCCCTTGCTTTTCTTGTGCTTTTGACCACAGAGGAGGAAAACATTTTTCTGGAGAGTCCTACCTTTCCAGTGGAGCCCTTAAGCGGTAGGTAAAAAAATCAGAGTCTGTATTTCCCTCATCAGATTTTTCGTCAGTTTTTTAGAAATGTTATTTAATTAAGATTATAGTCAATTAAACTTTGATGTTCAAGTCATGTTTTTGTAAATCGTTCTAATATTATCAGACAGATACAAGCTATTCTGTTGTTGGTTTCCTGGTTAGAGCATACCTGAAAGACTTTTGGATATGAAGAACTTCCTTTCTCTACCTGATGCTCTCTTACCTTAACTGCTGCCTCAGCTTTGGGGTGGTAGCTGGGTACTAATCTCCCTTTTACTTAAAGTGAATTTTGAACTACTTGGGCTTTTCGAAATAATATTTCCTCCTAAAACATGAAATAATGTTCTGGAGCTTGTCAGTAATTCTTCAGTAAAACATAGACATTTTTTGTTGCCCAAATCCTTCTGATTCTATGTACTAACCATACAAAAGTCTTATTTTTTAAAACTTTCTAATAAATATACCAGATTGTGTAAATTCACAGGAATGTTATTCTTCAATTCACAGGAATGTTATTCTTCAAAGTTCTTGCCTTGGGCAGTTGTACACATATCGCAGTAAGACTATTGTTTTTGAAATATTTTGAGAATACTTACCGAGGCAATTTCAGTCAAAAGAAATCATTTTTGTTGGTTTTTTAGTTAATTATACCTTGTTCGTGACCTTAAAAGGTTACGTTATTTTCCAGACATGGCATAGAAACTTTTAGCTTTTTAAAAAATTAAACGCCCCCTCAAAGGGTGAAATTTACAACCAAAGACAACTATTAAACACAGGCAAAAGTATGTTCCTTAGATGTCATTTGCATTTTTCACGTAAGTTACATTGCGCTTTAAATTGAATTTTTAATAGTCTAGCTGTAGTATTCCTGAATATGTAAGGTACCAAGGGATGTTGTTGATTTTGTAATATCATTGCTAGCATTTTATGTATAAAATAGGTTCATAAAATGTCAAAAAAGTATGGGACTTAGCATACTTTTTATGAGATTAAACTGTAGTTTTCATTTCAGATTAATTTTGAATCTTGATCCTTTACCAACTAATTTTGAAGAGGATACAGTGGAAATATTTGGTATTCAGTGGGTTACTGAAACAGCATTAGTGAATTCATCTAAAGTGCTATTTCATTTATTCAGGTACGTTTTGGTTTTGTAACTGCCTTTGAATGTAGATGCTGTTCAGTTGTAAGTTACATTGCTGGGTGGTTTCTAATGCTGATATTAACAAAAGCACCTATAGAGTTGTGCATGTTCTTCACTTGAATGATCTTATAAGTAAAAAATCAAACAGTAATGTTTGATGGAGCAATGGTTTTAATGAGTTGTTTTTTAGTGAATCTGTTACTTTTCAGAATCTTTATTCTTTTGTATTTGACATGTATTCAAGACATATTTAAGGCTTTGAACTACATTATAATTTGGGAAAAAAACCACTTTTGTTGCTTAATAACCATAGTCTTTCAACAATTTTTAGGTAACGAACTCAAATTTTCCAAATATATCTTTCAGACTGTGTAATAGAAATATGATTGATTATTATGATTAATTTGGACAACAAAATATTTTGATGAAAAATTTTAAACATACACAAATGTATAGAGAATAGTATGATGAACCTCCACAAACTTTCCCTTGGTTATAATAAACATCAAGGTTTTATCACATTTTCTCCATCTTTTTGGCTTACGTATTTTAAAGCAAATTCTAGGCATCATGTCATCATTAAATATTTCAGTATGCATTTCTTAAAAATATGAACTTTTCATATGAAAAGCCTTATCACAACAAAACTGAAATAATGTATCATTTAAAACCCAGTCCATATTTAGATTTCAAATGATTTTGAAATAGTTATTGAAGACAAATTATAATTAAAAAATACATTAAGAATGTATATATAGTACATTTAAATGAAAATGGAAAGGTGGAAGAATTTCTCTTCCCACTTTCATCTCATAAGACCTTGTGAAGACATCGCTATATCTGTGCCATTTTGTGTGTTTTATTAGAACAGGCAGAGTGAGTGATTCTCTGATTCTGAACATTACAGAATGAGTTGAGTTTTTATCTAAGACAGAGGTCGTGAATATTGGTTAATCTTTAAGGAGTTGAAAGGCAACTAGGAAGAATGGTAAGAGAGTACTCAGGATTCAAGGTGGAACATTATAAATATAACTTTCACTTATAACTCAATAACTCTAGTCTACATTATACCTTTTTGAACTTAACATTTTATTATGTAACTGTTAACAGGATATTTTATATAAGTATCTGAAACTTGAAGTTTTAATAGTATCTCATTGGTAGTTAAATCTATAATATTTGGTAAAATTTCTGAGATATATGCAGCTTTTAATAGGTTATTTTTGGAAATTCAGACAAAAGCATATATTATCTTTTCTGAAAGTTTTCACTACGTGAAGCTGACCCTATAATAAACATTCATGAAGTAATTAAATGCCATTCACAAATGGGAAACACTAAAGCTATGTAATGAATTTGGAGATATCCGTGTAATTGTTACATATTTAAAACTATTCTAAAATAAACTCTCACGTTACATTTTTTTAAAATTAGGCAACAACTGTACAACTTGGAATCCTTATTACAGGCCTTCTGTGATTTTGGTAAGTTGTATGTTTAAGACCCATGAATTGCACATGGGTTTGTGTTGCATAATTGGGATATTATAATAATATGGTGGAAATATGTCAGAATTTTAGGGTACAGTGTATTTAGTGTTCAGAGAAAGTATGACACTTAAATTTTGTTGTAGCTGAGATAGTATTTTTTCAAATCTGTAGGTAAAGTTCAAGGCTAAGCATCTCTGAAGTGAATTAGTAACTTGCTTTGGTGGTAGGGAGTAGGATGGAGAACTCATAAGAGAAGTAGTGTCATACCTTATACTATCTTACTTTTCTGCTTTCTTTTTTTCCTCTTTTTGATATTCAATGGATTACTGATTTGGGGAAGCTTGTTATAGTTAAAGTAGTGAAGGAAATTGAAGGACAGTATGTTTTAGGGCAGACCAGCTGCTTCTTTCTGGCAGTTTTGGTGCAGTTTGTGTTTAAAATCATGGCTCTGGTGAGCCTGGGTTTCAACCCTAACTAATTGTGGGTTTCACACAAGGTAATTGTTCCCACTCCATTGAGGTCTTGTGAGAATTAAATGACATAATGCATGTTAACTGCTAAGCCTAGTGTCTTATTGGTGATGCCCAGCAACTAAAGATCACCTGGAACACACCTTTGGTCAAAGAAAGGTTTAGCGGCTTACTAAAGGGAGAAATTAAATGAGAAAGAGTTGAGGTTTCTCAATAAGAGGGATAAGGGATGGGTCTGTAATAGGATTTGGGCTTGTGCCAGCTTATTTGGGTAGAGTTTAAGGGGGTTAGGATTAGATGCTGTTAAGCAAGGGCAATTTGATGATCAAGTTACATTAATTTTTATTTAGGAGTTGGGGCACAAAGTGAGGCTAGAGAGGGTTCTAATTAGTAAAGAAGCAATAATGTTTTCTGGGAGAGGGGGATGTTCTGATTTTGTATATTGTGTGTGATTGCATAATGCCTTGTTTTTCTATCAAAACATGATTATAGAGAGGTTTCGTTTTTGTCTTGTTTCACCGTAATCCTGGAATGGCCTTGATTTTTTAAATTATTATTTTACTAAAGTATAGTTGACATACAATATTATATTAGTTTCAAGTGGACAATATAATGATTTGACATTTATGTGTCTTATGAAGATCACCACAGTAAATCTTGTAAATATCTTTCACTGCACAAAGTTATTACAATATTATTGACTCTATTCCCTAGGCTATACATTTCATCCCCATGACTTATGTTCTTTATAGCTGGAAGTTTATACATCTTAATCCTCTTTACATTTTCTACCCATGCCTCCATCCCCCTTCCCTTTGGCAACCATCAGTTTATTCTTTGTATCTGTGAGTCTGTTTCTGTTTTATTTGTTTTGTTTTTTTAGGTTCCACATATAAGTGAAATCATGATTTGTCTTTATGTGACTTATTTCACTTAGCATAATACCCTCTAAGTCCATTCATGTTGTCATAAATGACAAGATTTCATTCTTTTTTATGGCTGAGTAATATTCCATTGTGTATGTTATTAATTCATCCATTGATAGACACTTAGGTTTTTTCCATATCTTGGCTATCGTAAATATACTGCAGTAAATATAAGGCTGCATATATCTTTTGAATTAGAGTTTTCATTTTCTTTAGATAAAACCCAGAAGTGGAATTGCTGGGTTGTGTGGTAGTTCTTTTTTCATTTTTTGAGGAACCCGAAATACTATTTTCCATAGTAGCTGTACTAATTAATATTTCCACCAGCAGTGCACAGGGTTTCCTTTTCTCCACATCTTTGCCAGCACTTCTTATTTTTTGACTTTGATAATAGCTATTCTGACAGGTGTGAAGTGATAGCTCATGTGGTCAGATTATTTTTCATGTTTTATGAAAACTTTAATAGCCTAGCTGTTTGCTCTCAGTTGTGAGAGCTGTTCTATTTTAATTGTTTTCTCAGTGTGTGCTCAGTAAACATTGAGTATTGTTTCATTATCTTCTGAGTCTCTGCTTCATGCTTCATGCACCTTACTATGTAAGGTACTGACAAATCAAAGTAGAAAAGTATGCTGCTGAAGAGCTTGCAATTGAGTAGGACAGACAGACATGTAAGCCTAAGTCAGCATGATAAATAGAAAACTATAGTGATAAGAGGCATTTATAAGCAGCGACGGGACCCAGGGGCTTCATCTGTTTATATGCCCATTACTGAGTGATACCAGATCTGAGTCTTCAAGGATGAGGGAAAATTAGCTAGTCAAAAGATTTTGGATACAGGAAGAGTTCCAAGTAGAAACAACTGTATAGACAAAGACATTGAGGTATGTAAAATAAAAGTTCAGATAGCAAGAAGTGGTAACTGAGTATGGTTGGATCAGACTATGTGTGTAAGTGATGTATTCAGAAGGGATGAAGTCACAGTTGTCTTGGTAAACCATGCTAAGAGTCAGAATTATATTTTGAAACCCTGAGGTGGCCTCTAAAAGATTATAGGAACACAGCAAAAATACTTCATAGAGTGAATTAATTAAATTGTGTTTGAGGTTAGCATTTATTATGCAAGATTATTCCTTGAAATTATTCCATTGACTTAGAACAGTTCAATGGACCATTTGTTGAAATGGTTATTTGTTAAACTGATGTTTTGGCTATTTTTGTTGCTTACAAAAACTTTTAATGATAGATTCGTTGAACAAGTTAGCAATATTAAAGATTATCCCTAGATCATCTCATCCTTGTCCTACAGCTGTATCAGGGCTTTGTTAATAAACTCATGTAGCTAGCCTTGGCCCTCAGCCCTTCCCAGAAAGCCTTTATGTAAGATCACTTACTAAAGTGCATATGGTTCTTGTTCTCTTGTTCATCATACTACCTGGATGCTTTCCTGTCAAAGCAGAATTACATACAAAATAATGTATGTTTTGCTGATACCTATTATTAAATATAGCTGATGTTACCTCTTTTTCAGATACTGTATCTTTTTCTGTAGATATTGTATTTGGATTGTATTTTTTTATATCTTCTATTTCTCTCATGCTTTTTTTTTAATCCATCTTGAATATATAGAGTATATATATAACTGCTGGTTTTCGTTGCCTGCAGAGTTTTCACATTGTCAATTCTAGGTCTATTTGTATTGATTGATTTTTCTCCTAGTTCTGTTATAGTTTTCTGGTTCTTTGAATCTAGTAATTTTTGTATTGTCTGATGGACATTGTAGATTTTACACTGCTCCTTTCTGGATTTTCTTGTATTTCACTAATGTATTAAATTTTGTTCTGGCTCACTGTTGAGTACTTGTAATCTAGTACTTAGATCTTTATGAATCTTGTTTTAAATTTTGTTAGGACTTTTAAGAAGTAGCCTTTAGTCTAATGTTAATTTAGTTCTAATAAGGCTTCTGAGGATTCTTTCCGGTATATTATGTTGTTTTTTTCCTTCTTGCTGGTGGGGACTTGAACTGTTCCCTGGCCTATGTAAGCTTTGTGGAGAATTGTTTTCTGGTGTTTTTCCTAGTCTTAGATTATTTTTTCTCATGCTCAAACAGATCAGTACTTAGCCAAAGACTCAAAGGGGACCCTTGTGCATTTTCTGAGCTCTTTTTTGTTCTTTACTACTTTTTTTCTTCTTTGTCACTTTTGCCCTATAAATTTAGACCTCCCTAAACACAGATCTTATATCTCCCCAACTCAGTGATTTGGACTCTGGGTTCTCTCTCTCTGTGCTGCAGCCTAGAAACTGTCTCTAGGTGGGAAGCTGGTGCAGTCTTATGAATTATCTTCTCTCTGGGATAGTAGTCTTGCATCGTCTTGTGTCCAATGCCTGCAAAAAATTTTTTTATGTTGTTTTCTGGTTTTCTACCTTAAGATGGAAGATAGGGAAATATGATTTCTTTTACTCCATCTTGACTGGATGCAGGAGTCCATAACTTGTTTTTAAGAGAATACTGTCTCTATGGGTTGAGAATTGTGAAACTGAGGGATGATAGGAATTTCGTAGGTGACATATAATTAAGTTATAAAAATGCACTGCACTGTTGAATATAAACATTTGTACAATATCTTTACACTTATGCTCCTGTTGGTTTTTGCCAAAATAATGGATATGTTTGCTCATTTAAATGCAAATTTAGAAATAAGTTTTGCTTTATGTTTAACATATTTAAGAATTTGTTGTCTATAATTCTTATCCTGTTTTCTCTGCTTTTGTTTAGTGATTCTCTCTTACTCGTTTTTTCTTATAGGGATTATCAGTTTTGCATATAGTAACCTCCCAGATAATTTTTGCTGATGCGAATGTTGAAGTGAGGGAAAGATGGCAGGGGTTGTAATTGGGAGAAAGACAGGCACTATTAATACATCATTCAGGGCTTTATAACTCATAAGACATTTTAATTTCATTCTAAATACAGTATATGCCTTTCATGGGTTTTGATTTAGGAGGAACATGAATTGATATACATTTAAAGCAGATTTTGTAGTTAGATTATGGGGGGAAGAAGGATGTGGGAAAACCTATTAGCTCTGTTGCAGTAATTTGAGAGATTATAGGGACAATGGATAGTTTGAAAGTATATTTTGGTCATAAATTTAATAGGACTCTGATGGATTAGATATGAATTTGAAGGAAATGAAGAAGCTAGAATGACAGGGCAACTTGGCATCAGTTGTAATGAGTAGACACAAGAAGGGGGCAGCACGAACGTGTTTGAGAAGAAATCTAGGACTTATTATTTGCACTGTGTGAGCAATCCAAGTATAGAAGTTAGGCAGTTTGTCATGCAATGTCTGGAGTGCAAAGTGAGAGGTCTGGGAAATAAGTAAACGTTTTCAAGTTATCATTTTGAAATAAAGGAACTGATGAGATCATACACATAAGAAGAAATATATGGAGATGAGAGGACTAAGGACTGAGTCTTGAGGATCCCTCATACTATTAGGCTTGATGAGGAGGAGCCAGTAAAGGAGAGATAGGAGAAAGGATAGATGAAGAAAGAAGACTGGCGGTATGTGGTATCAGTGAAGACAGGTGCAGCCAGTGCTACGGCAAGGGCAAGTTACTTGAGGACAGATAGGATCCATTATTTTGGACAACATGGATTTCATTGGTGACCTAATAACAGCAATTTTTGGAGAAAGAGTGATGGCAAGAACAATAAAGGAATAAGTGGAAAAAATTAAAAGACAAAGAATTGCTCCTTCTGTGGTTTACAAAATTTTTTTGTCATTGCTCACTAATTGTTTAAGCTATGATCAACATTATCTATTTTGGTTTTAGGGAAGATATCAACCCTGCACTGCAAAGCAGACAATATTAGGCAGCAGTGTATAACTTTTCTTCACTATGTTAAAGTTTTCATCTTCAGGTAGGACATCAGATGAGTATTTTGATTACTGCATGAATTTCTGAGTGCACATTCATCCACACACTGGTTGTTTATTGTATCTAATCGTTTTTTAGGTATCTGAAAGTACTAAATGCTGATAGTCATGTTCCTGTTCATCCCTATGAGGTCTTGGAGGCTCAGCTTCCCTCGGTGTTGGTTGATGAACTTCATGGATTACTCTTGTATATTGGACATCTATCTGAACTTCCCAGTATGAATCCAGGAACATTTGAAAATAAAAACCAAATTAAGGTTTGACTCATTTTACTTTTAAAATTATTGTTTTTTTCTCCTCACAAGGAATATTCATTCAAGATTGAAGGAAATTAGTCAAAAGAGTGCAGCTCTGGAATCAGACTGCCTGATTTGAAAGTTTGGCTCCTCCTCTTATTAATTATTTTGCCATTGGGCAAGTAATACCTCTTGCCTCAGTCTCCCCACCTGTATCATTAGTACAGTTTCCTGGAGTTATTGGCAGAATTAAATAAATTAAAATGAATAAAGTGCTTAGACTATAGTGTAACACTGAATCAGAGAGAGTTATTCTCTGTTCCATTTATACCTGAAAATATTTTAAAAATTCAAATAAAATGATCTTTATTTTCTAAAATTTGTATCATCTTTCCCATTGATAAAGGTTTGGGAAACCCTAGTTTTTATTATGGTAAGAGTCAAGATTACCTTATGAAAGTTACACTTTCAAAACCACAATATTTTGTCTCTTCTGACTTTTAAGATCTTTTTGGAATATGATTAAGATTGTTGTTACTAATGCTCTGTTGTTCTACCTGTGATAATCATGTCCTCTGAAGTTTGTTTTTCTTAAAATTTGTATTGTTAGCATGACCCAGTTTACAGTTATAATTAATAAATTCTCCATAGGTTAATGTGAGCTTATGTGGATGCCAAATTGTATGTACTTCCCGATGGATTTCTTGAACTCTCAGCCTTTTCGTTCTATTTGACTTTGTTTTCAGGAAGATGTCATTGTCAAAATTTAAGATACAATTAAATGTTTATATATTTATGTGAAGTTTAACAAGAACAAAAAATTGTGTCTAATCCTTAGAAAGCAAATAGGTAATTGCTTTTAATCATGTTACTTAGTAAAGATTGATGGGGAAGGCATATTTTCCCTTCATTTTAGTCTCTATAAATTGGACTTATTTTTATTTTCTGGGTATCCATCAAGTTGTTAAGAATATGATAATTTAGGAGCAGAAATAAAGAATGCGTGCAAGGGTCCTCAAACTAGGTTTTGCCTTTCATAGGCTTTTTAATTAGGCAGACTTGAAAGGATAGGATATTTGAAGATCAGAAGACTGAATTTTTAAAACAGGAGAACGTAGCCTTCAACACATAAACAACCAAAAAAATTATATGCGAAAATTCTTTTCTAAAACAACAGCCAAAAAAATATAAAGAATCTTTTAAGACTTTGTATATTTCTTATATTTTACCAATCTTATATATGAAAAATATTAATTTAATTGGTATTTTCACTGGAGCATCTGCCTTTTATTTTTAGAACTGTTTTTTTGTTGTTTTTGCTTTTTTTTTTTTTTTTTTATAAGGATTGAAGGGTAAAAAAAGAAAAACAATTGGAGAATAAAATTCTATTGGGCCTTCCCAATCACCCTGTAAATATATCCATGGACATAATTCTAGGATTCTTGGTAGATCTCACAGATTGCAAGGACCTTGTCAGCTTACAATCTCTTATAGCACCTGGTCTTCCTAGGTGGTCTCTCATCCAAGTACTAACCAGGCCTGACCCTGCTTAGCTTCTGAGATCAGCTGGGATTGGGCTTGTTCACGGTGGCATGGCTGTAGACTAGAACTGTTTTTATTAGAGAGATTATTTGTTGGGTGTGATATTTTACAAATATTTTCATCTATCTTTTTCAGCAATTAAACTGACTTCCTAGGTAGATTTAAGTTTTTTATGTAATTATATTTGTCAGTTTTTCTTCTGTATCATTTCTGCTGACATTAAAAACATACTTGTTTTTTACATTTATCTTTTTATCTCTTTTTTAAAAATATGTTGTGAGGTGAGAAATCTCACTTTAGTTTCTTATAAATGAGTAAGTTAAACTTCTGTTTTTTATTGAATGACCCATACTTTCTCCCACTGATTTGAGATACCATGTTTATTCATTTCTCTTTCCTCTTTTTTGCTGTTTTCTATTATCTATTCCTGAACCAATAGTTTTGTTAGTGTACCATTTGATTTTGTTTGCGTATTTGATAAGGCAACTTCCTTTTCCATTATTCTTTCTAGTTGTCTTAATAGAACATGTGTGTTCTTGTATTTTTATAGTGATATTAAGTATTGACTGAAAGAAGGTTATCGATAATGGGCATGACAGTGTCTACATAATAGTTTAAAGTTCTTTTGTTAAAATACTTTATAGGAGTTCCTGGGTATGTATTACAGTTAAAAACATATTTTCTAACTAAAGTCTAATACAAAATCATGAAAATAAGTATTTTTAAAATTCTTTTACTGCCTGTAGCAATAGTAGCATCAGAGGTTGGTAGGAAGGGACTGTTACTACTATACAAGTCTATTCAGCAGCCCTAGGTGGGTCTAACTTAAACCTTTAGAAGAAAAGATATCCTGCTTTCAAAGATCTCCAATGAAAGAATCTTCAAATGAACAAGACAGAGATTTTCCCTGAGCTTTTGAATAGTGGTAGGTTACTCAGTTCTTTATTGTTGTGCTTATGGAGGAGTGTTGTGATATGCTATCAAATACCTTATAAATTATTATGAATTCTTAGTCACAGTTGATAATGTCATTCACAGCTTTTTCCACCATCATGGCATTTGTTACATCTCCACTTAGATATCCATTGGCTGGTGCTAGAAATTCTTCATATGCTTGGTGAAAAAATGAGTAAGTTTATGGATTTCTGATTTATGTCCTTTTTCTAATCTAAACTTTTATTGTTTTTTAAAATGACACAACAGTAAGTGTTCTGATTTTTTAAAAATCAAATAGTGACTAAAGTAAAAAAGTAAAAATCTTACTCCTTTTTACCAAAGATAACTATAAGGAATAGCTTGGTCTGCTTATCTTTCATACTTACTATCTATTAGTATACATACATAGAAACTCATAGGTAGGTATTTTGATTGTTTCTAACCACAGATGGTATCATCACATTGTTCTGTTTAGTGTTTCATTTATCAGTTTTTTAGAGATTAATGTTAGTACATATAGTTTTACTTTATTCATGTAGGGCTATATGTAATGGATCTATCATAATTTAGCCAACTCTAATTTTTAATATTCAGTTATTTCCCTTTTTGATATTGCAAATAATATTTCATCGAACATCCTTATGTTTATATACATCTTTGATACTTATACAAGTTATCCTGTAGCGTAGATTCTTTGAATCGGAATGTCATATTGTAGTTTTAATATTGCACATGCTCTCTATTGCTGTACAGTAAGTTTCTTTAACTTGTCTATATTAACTGTGAAACTTGCCTTTGCTTCATACTCTTGCCAGTAGAGGATGTTTTTATTTTTTGCCAACTAATACATGAAAAATAATACTGAATCTATTTTTGTAATTTGCTGATGACCAGTAAAATTTAACATCTTTACATAATTGTATTGTCTTTTTATATTTTCTTTATTACTTGTACATAATCTTTTGCAAATTTTTCTGTTTTTTTTTTTTTTTTTAAATTAGTTTGTTATAGATAGGAATCTTTTATATATTGCTTATTTGTTTCTTGGTCTTGCTTTTTGTCATGTTTAGGTTCCATTATCAATTTAGCAATATTCTGGATATATTATTTATCAATTATTTAAGTTACAAAAATATCTATACCTCAATACCTGCTTTTCAATAAACACAAAAACATACATGTCTGTATGTGTGTGTACACTTACATATGTACATACACACAAACATACAAAGATATACACAAATATATAATTTTTTCTCAAGTGGACTTACTCTGATATAGGTACAAATTTTAGTATCTGTTACCTTGTTTTGTTCTATTTCACACAAGAAAATAATTGCACATGCTTAGTTTATCATTATTGGTTAAAAGAATAATATTTTAAAAGCTTTATTGGTTAGAAATATAGGTAAAGATTTTCTCATGTTTACCCCTTTTTTTTTCTTAAGTGATGTTGCTTTGTTGGTTTTCAAAGATGACCACGTTAAGAAAAGTCTATTATATGGTACTTGGAGGGATTGAAATTTTTTTCAGATGATGTTTATTAGTGCTCATATAAGAAACGATTTACCTTAAAATTTAATTTATACTTGCAAAACTTGCTTTTAATTGTATATGTTATAGTTACATATGTTAATTTAAAGGTATACAGTTACTTTTCTCCTTCTGAAGTAGTGAAATTACTGTATTTTTAAATAAAATTTATTTTATTACATTTTAGAACAAGTCGTATATAGTCGTCAGTTTATAAATCCGGCAGGTGACAATTTAACCAATGTCAGCATATTTGAAGAACATTGTGAAAATCTCCTTTGTGATTTAATAAGCCTGTCACTCAACAGGTATGACAAGGTAATGCTTTATGAGTTTATTTGTATTTTTGATAGTAGCAATAGTCAATCCTTAATGCATGTTGTTTAAGCTATAAGAGTTTAATCTAAATTCTTGCTAATGCTTTCAGTTTTATATTTACTATTATTTGGGAGTTGAATGAGAAAAGAATTTGATTTAAACATTTAAAGAAGGCTGGAATTAGTGTTTTTATAGCTTTTTCTTTTCAGAAGACTTTCATCTTGTCAAAAATTAAAACAGGATGTTTATGATAATGACAGGAAATTTAACCTCTTTTCAAATAGAGGCCAGCCCTATAATAATCAGTTATATTGCTGTTACATAATGAAAAAGATGAGTAATTAACTAAATCAGTTGATAAATTTAAAGGGGGTAGTTTTGTTTACTTATTTTCATGAAAGATCTAGCATCATGGCAGAAATGACTTGTTTTTACTAAATTGTATTTATATAGAATAATGCAGATAGATATTTAAAGGTACTACAGTACACATTTTCAGGTAATGGAAATTTATAGATTTTAACATTTATTTTACATTATAAGTACAAACCTTGGAAAATCAGGATTTATCATTTTTTAAATGTATATTATGTTTTAAGTATTATCAGTATTTCTTAAATTTCGTCTGTGTTTATAATTAATGTAATTAGCGGATTAACCAGGAATGATATAGTAATATCTAAACAGTTTACTTTTACTATGTATTGTTAGAAATGTATACGTAATACATGTGAAATAATCTATACGTTATGAATTTCAGAAGTTTAGTTATACTTGCAAATATACCGTATTCTCTCAATTATTTAGGGCCACTAAAGATATATTTATTATAAAAATGGTAAAATTGCTTAATTTTATCAGTCCCTAATAACTGTTTTTATTCTGACTTGTAAAAATTTTTAGTCTGCTTTATATTGAGTCAAAATTTATTTTCTGCTCTTTTTATTAGACTTTTTTTTTTTTCTTCTTCTTTTTGTGGCTGATATGTTAGATCAAGGTTAGGAAACCATGGCCCTGAGGCCAAATCTAACACACCATGTGTTTTGTAAATGAAACTTTACTAGAACACAGCCCATCCTTTTTTACTTATTGTTTACGGACGATGCTGCACAACAATTGCAGAGTTGAGTAATTGTGAAAGACTATTATCATGAATAAAGCTTCAAATTATTTATTATCTAGCTACTTACAGAAAATTTGCTGACCATTGAACTAGATGATTAAAGCACAGATTTTTTTAAAAATTGAAAATAAACTTTATTTTGTGCTTTTGGTTTTAAAATGGGAATTTTTAAAAGTTAATGAAATGCCGCATTTTTTATAAACAAGTTTACGTAATTGAGCATAAATTTTAAGTTATCTGAATCATCCTTTTTAAATATTTAGGAAGGTGTGTGGCATGTAAAATTTTGCTCTATTATAAGTAACTAATTTTGGTTCTTTTTTACAGATTAGACCTTCTGAAGCATTAATGAGTCACAATTGCCCATGTCCATGCTTTAAAGAATTATGGGTTCTACTCATTCATCTTTTAGATCACAGAAGTAAATGGTCTCTCTCAGAAGTAAGTTGTAAAATTGATGTGTTATTGTTATGAATTATATTTTTTCAGTGGTTTTGGCCAGGAAGAATCTTATAGATTTCCTTCTCAATAGGACAACAACTACCACTAAACAGAGCATTAACTGATTTATTTTTTGTTTTATCAAGAATCATTTGACTAAAATATTTAATACCCTCTAGTAATTCAGGAATCATTTTAGTGAGGAAATGTGACAGATTTATATTTGGGGAGAAATAAAACATAGGTTTCCATTAATCAAATTTACAGTATCTTATTTCAAGGAGAGAGGAAGAAAAGTGTAAAGGAGAAGATGGGAAATTTTCTTTCACTTTATTTTGACCAAGTCTTTATTGTGGAGCTTTTTTTTTATTTCAAGTATTATGGATTAAAGGAAAAAGAGAAATATCCATACGAAGAAACAACTACAAACAATTGAGTGTGAAATGATGCTTAAAATGGTGTACGTTATATGAAAAAGTACTTCTAATATTTTATGGATTTTTGAATTTTCCAACTTTCTACAATTTGGGCTTTGAGTCCTGCTATCGAATTTAATAATAAGTACATTTTTAAGTTATTTTACAGTAAATTTACTAAATATTAGTAAAATAAAGTAAGTTTGCTAAGTATAAATTTATTGTATTTTTACTTCTTATTGAGTAAGAAGTTTTTTTCCCCTGACAATTTGGTTCATCAGTAGAGTTCAGCTTTTTACAGTGAGATTTAAATATTATAAAATTTCAGCAATTTTTTCCCTTTGATTATTTGCCAAGACATTTTATTTATTGATGTGGTAAAAAATAATTTTTTCGTTTTCTGCAAAGGTTAATTTTATTTTTTAAGAATTTTAAATTTCTTTAGAATTCTTATTTTATAAATTTCAGACTTGAAAGTGTAAGCCAAATAGTTGACGTAGGCATGATTATACTTGTTGCTGTTAGTCTTTTCCTAGGTTTTAAGCAGAAAAGTAGGCATAATTTAAAATATTAATTATAGAAATTTGCATTGTAATATATATTATTTAACCTACATGATTTGTATGCTTTATGTTTTATGTAGTAACCAGACATATTTGTCTTAAAACAATATTTGAGGTCATTTCACTTTTTAATACTACAAAAGTAAGTTATTTTCAGATTTGAAGGCTATTTTATTTTGAAAGTCAAATTAGAAGTTTACATTCCAGTAAGATAGTTTGACATTACTGCTTAAAAAAAAAAATCTAATCTAACCATGCTGGGTGCCATATAAGAAGTATTTTAACTGAGTCAACGAGCTTGTAGAAAGTAAGAAGAACTGAGGCCAAAAACTAAATTTAGATGGGAACTCAAGTCACTTGAACATTGAAGCTACCTCATCACCTTAGATGCACTTGCAGAATTGTGAAAACTTGAACATTAGCTTTCATACATTATAAGGTACAGAGGTGATAAAGCTCAGAGTCAACCCAAGTCAGTAGCCTACTGATATGCCAACTACCTATAAATCCAGGCTCCCAAAAAGATGAACTAGAAGCTTAACTAAATTTGTAAGGAAAATTGCCTGTCTTTAACTGTGGTGCTTGCAGTTTAAAATTGTTTGTTTATTAAAAGCCAGCCTTCATGCAGATGACAGCCTGAAGTTCATGGTGCCTAGATGATACTAAAAATTTCAAGCCAGTGACTTCTAAACCAGTGACATTGTTCAACAGTCATGGACAATAGGTGGATGCTTAAACCTGCCATATCTTCCCATTTAAACTCCCCCAAAATATAGAAAAACAGGAACAAATAAAACTACACAACGTGTTGATAGCCTAACTATAAGATAGGAATATTTAAAACTGTAAATTAAAAGTAAAAACCACCAAATTTCTACCACAAAACTTACTAGCAAGCAGGGGCAGTCAGAAAAGTTGCTTAGAGGAGAGAAGGGGGCTAGTTGTAGTCAGTCATAAAGTTGCTCTAAAACCATTGCCAGAATGTGAAGATACTGAAAAAGTTTTCTTATAGATCAGAAAACTCACTATAGGATAGGAATATAAAAGTGTGTGCATTACATGAAAAGGCAGTCTTTTAAAGGTAGAGCTTCTAGAGAAAAAAAAAGGCAAAAAGGAAGGAGTCCCCCATGGTGATTGGGGAAAATGATAGGAAGTAAAAGAAAATATGATCCTGTAGAACAAAAGAGAAACAAACAAACAAAAAACAAAAGACACACCTGCTCTGCCACAACCACTACCACCAAAAAAAAAAAAAAAATCCAGTTAAAAACTGGAACTTTGTACATTAACAAAAGAGGGCTCCACTGAACTAAGAATCTTAAAGTAGTCCAAATCTACAAAATGAGAATACAGAAACTAAATAAGTCTTTCTAAAGTTACTACAAGAAAACAATTGTTGTACTTTAGCTGATGATACCCTTTCCCCCAGAAACAACTATAAAGCAGAAGAAAATTGTAAGACAACACTTCAGACTGAATTAAATAGACAAGCATTTGGGGTTGTTAAAAACACCTTGAATAAGATATTCCAATGTTAAAATAAATAGACCAAAAGCCAGGAATAAATTTAAAAAGCAAATTGAATGCAGGAGAGAAATGGAAATAAAAATTATTTAGAATTGACTAAATTACAAGGTTCCAAGGAGAACAGACTGAAATGAAAATTTAATTAGAGGCATGGAAGAAAGGTAACCAAGGGACTAAAAATGAGATAAAGGAATATTGAAGAGGTAGAGAGAAAATGTTTGAAATGGAAGATAGGCAAAGAAGAAATAACTATGTTTAAATGGAGTCTCTAAAGAAGAAAACAAAACAATGGGATATAACTAACATTCAAAACTGTTATCCAAGAAAACATTCCAGAAATAAAAAGAAGACCTAAATCATACTGAAAGTGCCTTCTGGATAAATGGAAAGATTAACTCCAAATAATCCATCTTAAGACATAGCTTACTAAAACTATTTAATTTTAAATATATAGAAAATGTCTTTGTCTTGTAGTAAATCTTTAAATCCTCCAGACAAAAAGACCAAATAAAAGATCAAAATAATTCGACCTCTTCTAGACTTCTCAAAACAACATACCAAGGCAACAGTTAGCATTTTAAAAAGTCTCAGAAAGCCTTTCTCCTTGTAGAAGTCTGCCATCTGGAAGAGGACACTCACCTGACCATGCTAATACCTTATTTAGGACTTCAGCCTCAAAACTGAATGAATTAACAATATGGCACAACAGAACAAGCTTTCAGCTTAGAGAAAAGCAATTTAGGTTCTACCTTTTAACTCTGTGGAGTTTCTATGGACTGTAACGATGAGATACTCCCTTAATAAAAAGCTCAAGACTAAGAAAAAGTGATCATACTAAAAAAACAAAACAAAACAGTCCTAAAACAAAGGAGCAAGTTAACTGTTCTTTGCACTATCTGCAGTGGCTTTGGAGACTAAGATGGATGTGGATAAACTGAGAAAGAAAACCAAAAAAAGCAATTGAAAGTTTCAGGAGGAACAGGAAAGCCTGTGTTTCATCTGCCTGGGAGTTAATGATACCACAGAATGTTGACAGCAGGCTAAGCTTCATACAGGACTTGTGCTTAGGAGCTTTCCATACTGCTAAAAGCAGTGGGGTTTTTTTTCTACTTTGTACAAAGATTTAAAAATTCACAGTGCGACAATACTGATTTATACAATGCATTCCATTTACTCTGTGTGTGTACAGTAACATTATTCCAGAAAGAAATATTTAATTCCTTGTCCCTATACCTTGCCTTCCCCCACATTATCCCTGGAATGAGATTTAAAGTTTTCCCATTGAGAAAGGGGTATTTTCTGCAACCAAATGAGTGTTTTAAACATTAACGCTCTAAGGAAATTATCCAAAGGGGAGAGGCAGTTCAGGGTTGTTGAGTTATTTTGAAATGTCTGGGCTGCTGCTGACTTTTATGAAGGCAACAGGATGCTGCTTCCTAGGGGTACAGGATAAGAAGCAATTAGAGAAGCCTAGGAGAGGCTCTAGAATGTTTGGGAATTCACACTTAACCTAAAATTCTGTGGGAATTCCAAGAATGAAAATAAACTAATTTGATCAAGGACATATTTGTGTCCCAGAAAATATTGTAAGCAGGTAATAATACTGGATAGATCTGTATGAGTGTTTTCCTAAAAAACCAACACTCATTATCTAGTAGACTTCAATTAGACTTCAGTTCAGTTTCCCAGAAGAGGAGGAAAGCTAATTAATATTCCTTGAGTGCTATTTCTTATATGCCAGAAAGTAGAATGGGTGTGAGGTTAAGTAAACTGTTGAAATAACAGAGTCAGAATATATGAAGCTGGATTTATAACACGGATTTATTTGATGCCACAGCCCATGTTTTTTCTACCACATGATTATGTATGAAAGTTCATGTTGAAGAGAGTTAGAAAAAGAAAACAAAGGAATAGCTGAAATAATTTACTATTCTTCTTTTGGGGAAATAGACCTAAATGTGCACTTTCAAATTTCCAAAAGTGCCACAGATGAGGCAGGGGATATATCACGTGCAATATAATAGAGTTGGAGCCTGTACACATTATATATTTTAGCTGCCACAAATATGTGTATGTGTATATATGATGTGACCTTTAAGCATTACATACCGAATGTTACAAAAATTTACTGTGGAATAAAAAGTTATCAATGCCCATCCCCAACCAAAGACTCAGAAAGTATGGGCCAAGGATTCTATAACTTTGACCCTACCAATCAATCCCAGTTCTAGGAGTTTACTCTCAGTATATACCCGCAACAATTCAATAATACATATGCATCAGGCTATTTATTGCAGCATTGTTTGTAAAAGCATAATATTAGAAACTACCTAAATGCCCATACACAGAAGAGTGGTTAAATAAACCATGGAATATCTGCATGTTGGAATATTACACATTTGTACAGTAGAGTGAGAAAGATGTCTGAACTGATAATGTAGTAATTCCAGGGATTTACTGTTAAATGAGCAGAGTACAATAAAATATTTACAAGGTGCTTCCTTTTTGTGTAACAAAGTAGAGAAAAGAAGGAGATAATAATATTTAGTTTACACAAACACTGGAAAGACAAATCAGAAACCATTGAGATTTGTGGGTAGGAATGGGAGATTGGTGAGTCAGAATGGAGTGGAAGGGTTTGAATGTGTTGTTTTAAGTTAGAACCTTGTTAATCTTAATCTGTCAGGTGCTCCAGAAATAAATCAACATGTATGGAGGGGGAGGGTTTCCATAGAATATAAGAAGAAACAATCGAATCTAACTATTGCAAGTCAATAACACTGGGGGGCGGTGGGTAGAGGACTAACCTAGGTTACTCAGAATGCTCTAATTTGACTATGTACTCTATAGCTAAAGACAAACTAAAGAAGTACAAATACTGGACTCCTGTTAGGAGATTTGTTTTTACAGTGTTACATATGGGTTAGCAATTTAAATCTATTTTTTTGTATTCTAAGACTTAGCAAATTAATATGTTGTGGGTAATTGGAACTAGCTTCGTTACTGTTAGAAAATTCAGTTACAAATATAGAAAGAGGGAAAGCTAGAGTGAACCATAATGAATTGGACTAGATTTAGGTATCAGTATGAAGTAATGGTTTTTAATAATTATAACTAGATGTAGGTGTGCATACATTTTTCACATTATCTACAGAGGGCCTAGAAACCGTGATATCTGAGTAACAGAGCAATTTGCAGCTGTCTTGGTTTTGAAATAACCATTTTCCAGTGAAAGGAAACAAGGCTCCTTTTGCAAATGACTGATACCAGATTGGGGCATGGAAAATAAAAAATGAGCCTGGAACATTTTGTAGCACAACCTAAGAAGGCACTCAGAATATGAGGACATTTTAAAAGAATACACCAACATGTAGATCTCCCACAAGCCAAACCTGAGATAGTTTAAGCAACAAAATAAATGGTAGGAAAGGATTGTAATCTGTACAATAGGACTTTGTGAGTCCATACTGACAAAATAAATGAATAAATAGAGAGTAGGGGAACTTTTCCTAATAAATGTAAAAGTATGATGGAATTAGAAAATCATCAGTTGACAGCCCCCTTAGTAACTATTTCAGGCAAGAATGCTCAGTGGCTGCCAAAAGTACTATGAAAAACAGTATTTACATAGCTTGATAAGTATCTCTACATGATATTTATTATTTACAAAGGAAGTAGTGCAGAAACTCTGGCAGATATCACCCTAACCAAGTGATCAAAGTCAACCAATTATAAGATGGATCGGTATTATATAACCTCAGTATGCTCCATTGAAGGGACAAAAATGTTTCTTTGGTATTCCTACCCAAAATGCATAGTGTGCATCTAATCATGAAGAAACACCAGTCAAACCTAAATAACTGGCCTATACTCTTTAAAAATGTTAAAGTCATGAAAGATATCTGAAAAACTGCTACAGATAAAAGGAAACCGAAGATGGTAGCTACATGCAGCATGTGAGAATAGAGAAGATGTCTGATATAATTGTAGTTCCAAAAGAAGTAGAAAACGGAACAGAAAATATTTGAAGAGAAAATGACTAAATATTTTTCAATATTAATGAAAGCTATCACATTAAGAAACCCATTGAATTCCACTTAGGGTAAAAGGATAAATACACCCAGATACAATATAGTAAAACTGTAGAACATCAAAGATAGAAGAGATTAAAAGATGTCAGCCAGAAAAATACATTACTTTCAAAAGTGTGACAATTAGACAGTCGACTTCTCAACAGCAATGGAAGCCAGCAGAGATGATACCTTCATGGTAGTAAAACAAAGTAATGGTCAACCTAAAATTCTTCATCCAGCAAAATCTTTGAGAGTGAGGTGAAACAAAAGCTATTTTTAATGGAGCAAAATTGAAGGGAATCCTAAAAGTTATTTTTTAGTTAAAAAATAATGATGCCAGAATGTAGGTTCTGAGATGTAGGAAGAAATAAAGAACAAAGAAAGCAGTAAATGTTTTGTATAAATCAATAGTATAATCTAGTGGAATTAAAAAAGTGTTAAGTACACAGTAATACTGGCGTATAAATTGAGTAGGGCATAAATGAGAGTATTTTAAGATCCTTGGTTTTTTTTTTTGAGATAAGAGATATAAACTTATTGGGACATTTGGATGTATACTGTTATTTCTAAGGTAATCACTGCAAGAAGAGAAAGTAGACTAATTTACAAGCTAGTGTGGATGAGGGGAGGGGAACGAAATAAATATTCAACCCAAAAGAAGGCATGAAGTGGGTGTTGGTAGAAAAATTAGGTGTACAAATAGAAATACAAAATAAGATGGTAGTTTCAAAACTAAATCTATGTCATTACATTAACTGCAGTTGCTCATTTTAAATAACTAAATGCTCATTCAGAACAGACTAGCTGTTTACAAAAGAAAATTTAAGACGTAAAATACAGAAGGGTTCAGAGTTGATAAAAATATAAGAAAAGTAATGTATTAAACTAATGTTGGAGAAAATTAGACTTTAAACCAATAAAAGCATAAAGTTGTTTCATATTGATAAAAGGTTCAGTTTATCAGGAAAATAAAACATTTAAAATTTTACGTGGCTAATAACATGGCATTAATTATAGAAAATAAAAATTAACAACTATAAGGAGAAATACACATCCTTAGAGATATGAAATATATTTCTAAAAAACCTTCAGGTAAAAGATAATGAAAATTATAAAATTTTTGAAGGAAATATTTAACTACTAGTTAAAGACTGCAGCTAGAGATATAAAGAGGGAAATTTATAACTTTAAATATAGACGTTAGAGGGAAAAAAACATTAGAAATTAGAGCTAAGACTTCATCACAAGAAGTTAGGAAAAAAATCCCTGCATAATAAACTCAAAGAGAGTAACAGCAAATAAAACTAGCACACATTTATGAAATTGAAAGCAACAAAGATGATCAAATCAATGAAAAAGGTCAAAAGAGCCAAAAATTGGTTCTTCAAAACAGATTACTAAAGTTGGCTAATCTTTCTTAAGATGATTACAGAGTCAATACTAGAAATAAAGGGCCATGACTTCAGATTTCTGCAGCTATTAAAAAAAGTGAGATATTGTCAACAACTTTATGCCTAATAACGTGAATACATGAAACATACCTAGAAAAAGAAAATCTTAACTAAAACTCATCAAATGTTCAAAAGCAGTAAATTAAGTAAATGGTTTTATATAGTCATATACTGGAATATTCTGATGAACTATGGGCCATACTCATTAATATGGATGAATCTCAGAAACATAATGTTGAAGAATAAAGTTACCAAAGAGTAGAAACAAGCCACTTAGGAATACAAACGTGCATTAGAAAAAAAGGTGAAGTCAAAATATGTACTTTAGGCTTATAGACCTTTGTGGCAAAACTTACAAAAACAAGGGAATGATTTATTATGGAAGTCATGATAATTACTCCTGGATGGGAGAGGAAGATGTAATTGTGGGAACATGGCGGATCTTTCTAAAATACTAGTCATTTTCTAATTTTTAACCTGGGTGTTTTTATTAGTCTTTAAGCTTTGAGTATTTTTTTATTTTCTTTTGTGTAAATATTTCCTTATAAATATGGGGAAAATGCCCAAATCAAAGGTTACTGTATCAGTGTCAATTTAATTGAATCATATTACTTCTGTTTTTATAGTCATTTTGGAATTGGTTGAATAAATTACTTAAAGCACTCTTTGACAAATCAAGTGACCAAAGACGACCTTCTGTGCCTGTAATCCAGCCTACAGATCCATTAGGTTTTAGTTGGTGGATTATTACTCATGTAGCATCATTTTACCAATTTGATCGTCATGGAGCAGCAGATAAAATGGTAAGATTTTATTTTTTTAAACTTATCAATTAGTACATATTTTTGGTAGACAAATTAGTAAGTGCATAGAAACAAAAATCAGATCATAATTCTGCAGAGATATATTCAGCTTCTTAATATAGGAGTTGTAGACCTTTCTATAAACTTCTCAAAAAATCATAATCTTTTTGTTTTTATAGTTTGTTTAAGGTAAAGGAACTTGCAGAAGAGTTGGGATCTAGTCCTGGCTCTGCTAAGTAGTTGTGTGACCTTCAGTGAATTACTTAAACCTTTCTGGGCCTCTGTTCCCCCTCATCCAGAAGTCATGGAATTGGAAGATTCCTTCTAGGTCTAAAATCTGTAAGATTGTCAAAGGGAAAGCATATTCTTCCAGAAATGCATTAGTAGGTTTTGTGAATAATTTGGTAAAATTATTTTCTCCAAATAACACTTTACAGATAAACTTTTAGCAAAGATATTTTAATCTATTAAACAACTGTGAAAATTACTTCAAATAGAAAGACAAATTTTAACTAGTATATTAATTTCTAGTTAGAAATATTTTTTTACAGTTATTTAAAAAGCCCTATGAATAAAACCAGCTGGTAGATGTGTTTATTTGAAGCCCCATTTATATGTAGTTATTTCTATATTCAGAAGTGAGTAGTAGTATAGTGTTATATCAAGCCTATCAGTTCCACAAAATAAATCTAGGATCTTGAAGGCAATGTGTCTATATTTTAAAAATTGGTCTTTTTCTGAGTGGTTACTAAACCTGGCTGATTATCGACCTACCTGTGAGTTCTTTTGAAATTCAGATTACTAGGTCTCAACTTTGGACATCCTGATTTAGTAATCTGGTTTGGAATTTGGGAATCATTTTTAAAAAGTTCCTTAGCTCTCATCCTATACTAGGTATGGTAACTATTGCTTCATGAAACATGTTCCTTGGACTTGACCAGTTTTCCTCTCTTTGGAATACTGGACAGTCTGAGAAATCATACAATTAAATCTGAGGTTCAGTTAGTATTGACATTGTGCCATAGAAATGGAAAGGGCCTCAAAAGGTTCTTTAAATGATCTTCCTAATAAAGGCCCTTTAGGAGAACCCAACATAAAGTAAAATATAGTCTGAAAGTGCTCTGAGAAGTTCACATGCAGAATTCTACCATATATCAAGAGAGGTCAATAGAATGAGCTCACAGAGAACAATTGTATGTCCTTTGTTTCTGTAAATGAGACCTTACCATGCTGATGTATAATAATTACTCAATAAATGTTAGAAGTTGCCATTATTACTGTAGTATCCATTTTTTTGAGTATTTTTGTGGAATTTATATGGTAATATTTAACATCTTTTAATTACTAGAATATTGGAGCAACATTAAAAGAACTCAATAATCTACCTATAATTCTGAGGTCTTTACATGAAATTTTTATTTCTCTTCCCTTCCAACCTTAATTCTTCGAAGTCTATATTTCTGATTTGAATCAGTGTAAATAAATATGGTAATTAGTTAAGCACTTCTGAGTTCTTATTGAGAGGCTATCATAATGATAGGTGTCGATGATAGGATACAAATGAAACAAATTGTATTGCCTCTTGCTTCAAGGAACATGCTTTCAGGTTATTAATGCTTGCTGGAACTGAATTAACACTTATTTGAGTGGTATATTTCAATAGCGGTTGCTGTTGAACCCCAGACACTCCCAGTGTGGTATACATAATTAACCACATTAATATATATCATTACTGTTTTGATGTTGAATTGTACTAGTACAAACATCCACAGTAGCATTGCTGAAATCACTCTTCTCTTTCATACAGAGAATTTGTAGATTATTGCTTTTATTAGCTCTGAATCAAGATACTAAGTGAATTTTTGACATTTAAAATAGCTTCACCTATGTCTTTCAGTATTTTCAGCAGTTTTTACGTGGGTTTTTTTTTTTTTTTCTTAATTCTTTAAATTACATAAAAGGTTTTCATAGTAAAGAAAACCACGATATTTGAAAAAGACTTTTATATGATAAAAATAATAAAGATGTGCAATATATACGAGTATGTATGTATATAAAATAGACTGCTTTTGTTCACAAGTCCTCAAAGAATTTCAGATATTTCTGGACTTGATGGCTTTTAAAGAAAAACTCAAGCTCTGTAGTTAGTAGTTTTCATTAGGAATGATGTCTTCAGCATACTGCATTTGCAAATTGTTTAATATCTCACAGTGACTTCAATTTTTATCTCAGTGAAGTGTTATGAAATAGGTGAGAGGGTAATATGTCCATTTTACAGATACAGAAACTGAGTTACACAGTGGTTAAATATCTCTCTATTTTTATCACCTAAGTTAACTTGATATTAAGGTCTTCCTAAGGACTGCCTCTTATGAATGGGTCTTTGATAGGATAACCAGCTTGCCAGGGACAGTCCCAGATTATGCCTATTATCCCCTGGTCTCCTCTGGTTAGGTTTTTCTTTTATTCTCGAAAGTGTCCCAATTTGGTTTATAAATCATATAATCTGATCTATGAACATAAAAACATTGACTAATCCTTTCAGAGAGCTGATATAGATTGTTAATTTGGGTCTGGGATTTATTTACATTAGAATTTTGAAAATTACTAGAATTCTTTTATCTCCTTATGATGTATTAGCATAGTCAGATACCATATAGAAAGTGGTTATATTAAGCATGCTTTATTCCACTAAAGAGTAATCTGGTATGACAGTATGATATGAAGTAATAATGGTTAGTCATATGCCCTACAGCAGAGAAATACCTCTGATCTTGTGTTAACCATAGACACATTTCAGTTGTTAAATATGAACCGCTTTGCCTTGAAGGTGAATGTGAAATCTTTACATTTTAAGTAGGTTTCAGATATGACTAAACTTATTTTTTAAGTTTCTGTAAATTGGACTTGTGCTATTTGTAGATTGAAATCACAAAATTTGCCAAAAGCTTAATACAGGCATATAAGGAGAATTTGGTGTCTCATTTCTCATAGTAGAGGCTTTAGGTTTTCATATATGTCTGTTCAATGCTTTTCTCTCAACCTAGATGAGAGAGTGTTATCCTCTTACAAACTTTTTTAAAAGCAAATATAGTTTAAAGAGAAAAATTACTTTTGAACATTTCAAGGATCAGTTTAACACTGCTTTCCCTGCCCATGACATATTGCAATCAGTCAGGCCAACTGATGCTCATCTTTGAAACATCTGAAATGGTGAGTAGATAAAAGATGTTTAATGTAACCTTAAAATGAGAGTTGTCTCAGGTTACCTTGTTCACTGAAAGTGGAGGGTGGGAGATCTATTTTATATTTCTGGTTGAAATACCACCTATACTGAAGCCTAAGTGGGTGTCTTGGTTTTGATAGTAGGATAAGAAATATAAAACACAGCCCCAAATTGATGACTTCCTACTTCCTTTCTATCAGTGGAATTAAGTTTTATAACTTAGTCTGTAGAAGAAAAAATGCTGTAGCTGCTCAAAATTTTCCTATGGAAGAAAAATCTGTATCCTATTGATACATATTCCCTTACTCAGACTTGATTTAGGGAGGATTTAGTTGCCATTTTTTCCTCTGAGTTATGGTTTATTTTTGTTTTAGATTATAGCCACAATACTCATCTTTAGAGCTGAAATTCTTTGGACAAGAATTATACTACTTTTATAATTCGTGTGATTCAAATGCCTTAGTAGAACAGAATAATTGAAATATACACATTAACACTATCGAATTATAAAGCTAAAAACATTAATCTCGTCCTGTTCCCGCTTATTTGGGACTAGTGACATTTTCTTAGCAAAGAATGATGTAAAAGTGAATTGCTGAAAGTGAGGGAAGGCTTGTTGGAATGAGAAACTTAGTTACTGGTAACCTGATATAACGGAAGGAACCCTGGTTTTGAAGCCAGACCCACTTGGATTTGAATCCATGCTCTGGCTGTATGTACGTAACCTTTTTGAGACTTGCCGTTATCTATGAAATGAGAAAGTTTGTTTGAGGAAGTAGTAATGTAAAGATCCTAATACAATGTATACATATAATATTGATAGAACAAAATAGTCTCCTTTTTGAGAGAGTTTTAGGGCTGCCAAGTTTTTGGGGACAGTTCTCATGACAGCCTTATTTCTGACACCAATAGAAAGCTCAGGGGATTCCCCAAATTATATAATTTATTTAGATTCGCAGAACTCACTGAAAACTATTATACTCAACAGTTATAGTTTATCATAGGAAATGGCTATAAATTAAAATTAGCTAAGGGAAGAGTCCATAATGCAGAGTCCAAAAGAAGTACCAAATCTGGGGCTTCTGTTTTCCTCCATATGCAGAATTGAGTATCACGTGAACTTAGTATCCTGTGAGAAGGTCCTGCAGGTTTTCCATTGCTTAAATATAAGGTTGTACTATGTAAAATTTTTTATTTTCTGTCCAAATATTTTAGTTACTTGTTTACTAGAGTAGATTGTCTTGAAGTTATTATGTATAAAATGAAGAGAAAAAAATCTCTGGTGAGTAAAGTACAGAATAAAGAACCTTTGGCAAAAAAAAACCTCCCAAAAATACAAAAATTTTTTTCCCTGTTAGATTATATCTGACAGCAAAATTAAGTATTTGTCAAAACATAATTTTATAGGAGTACCACTATTTAATGAAACAACTTCTGATAAGGTTTACATTGGATTGGAATAGTTGTTAATTTTTTTCTGTCAAGTCTCAACCAACTCTTTGCCAAAGTAATTTTAGACATTCAAGAAGTTGTAATGATGTCTGATGATGGACAGAATGTTTCCACTTCACACTTAACTGCTATATCATTCTTTTAATTTGTAATTTTAATACAAAAATATTTTCTCACTTTCTAGAGACAAATGGAATCAAATTGGAACTTTGTAGAGGAATTGTTGAAAAAGTCCATCAGTCTTCAGGTATGCATTAAAGTGAGACAATTTGTGGGCTTTGCTATATTTTTATGTTTCAGATTTTATTTATAAGAACCAAGCTAACTTAAAATGATTTAAAATAACAAACTTAGTTCACTTGTTAAAAACTGGAGATAGAATCATCATTCTTTGTTAATGAAGTGTCAATATACAATAGTTCCTAATAGTGACTGTCTTTTGAAGGTTTTTTATTTTTAACTGCTAGTTAAAGGACAAAGGTAATTATCCTAGTTGGTGACTTTGACAAAATGTATTCAAAATAAGTTGTAGATGCTGCAGAACTATAAGCCATTCCTCGACTATATGATATCAAGTCTAGGAGACACGATGAGAGAGATAGTCAGTGGCATTGGAAATTCAGCTATATCCTCATCACAGCAGGAAGGTGACTTGCCTTGCTGAGCAATTTGTCTTACAGGCTTGAATCATGCTCTAACTGATAAGGTCCTAGTTTCTGAGCCCTCATTTTATACCTTATCATTTTTCTTTTTGCAGAGCTGTTAATGTAGTGCTTCATGGCCCACAGGTCAGATTTGACCTCCTTTTAAAACAGTTTTAAATGTGCTGTTCATCACATCTTTATACATATTGTATTGTAGTTCTGTAAAGTTTGTTACATAAGTTATTTCTGGAAGGATTTAAGGGAAATTTTAGTAAAGAATATTTTTTAATTTGGGAAATAGATTACTGTTAAAAATAAAGATTGTTAAAAACTTGAAGAGGAATAAAGAAATATGTGGTACAAGATTGCTACATATATAGTTCACACACATATTTATCGTATATCCATATCTTGGAAAATCATTTTAATAGCTTGAAATTTTCTTTTCCCTGTTATCTGTATTAACTCTAAGTATTTCTAGATGAAACATATAAATATATTTAGTTATAATATAAATCTTCTAATTATGAACTAAGAATTCTAGGTTAGCATTCCATTCATTGACATCAGAAACAAAAGAGGTTTTATCCCAACCATTATAATAGTTTTTGTTTATTTTTATTTTTTATATTATTTTAATTGGCTTCATTCTTAGTTTTTTTTTGAGAACATATTACTTTACTTCAAGAATGTAGGGAATCACTAGAAAATGGTCATTGTTATTTATATCAGCTATTCATCCAATCTTAATGCCTTAGCATAGCTTAAAAACCTGGTACTTAAATTTCTGTTGAGCTCTGACAGTGTATGAATTCCTGGTGTTGTTCAGCTAGGTTTTAAATTACAGAGTATTTCTTAGGAAACTAAGGGTTCATTTGAATAAATACTCATATACCTACAATAGGCAAAGAAAAAAGGAGAGAGAATTTATCCTCTCTTCTCTGCCAAAGAACGTTTGTTTTTTGACTAAGTGATTGAAAATCATTTTTAAACACATTTAGTTATTTGAAAATTAATATTTTTTTCTTTAGGTTATGACTTTCTATAATTTTGTTTTTAAATGAAGGAAACTCATCTTGAAAAAACCTTCGTAGTAAGAATGTCTTACTCATAATGTGATAAAACTTATTCTGACATGTTTAGTATACCTTTACAATATAACTGGTGTTTTAATGGTGTCAGCTAAAACTAGTATGAAGATAAATAAGTAATTTTTGGAAGTAGGTAGGGCGACCATCTGGATTTGCCTGGCTTGGGGTTTCACAGAATGTAGGATTTTTCAGTGCTAAAACCAGGAAAGTCCTAAGCAACTGGACGAGTCAGTCACCCTAGAAGTAGGGATGGTACAGCTAATCTCAGAAACTTTCTTTGTGAACTCAGGTCTAGCATAAAGTTAAAGTAATATCTTCCCTGTGAAAGAAGAGGTCATTATAATATATAGAAAGAGGTAGTCCATTCTCTCTAGCAATCTTTCAATTTTGTCATGCCTTGATTATATCAAATTAGATTTTTATAAGTATAGGAGTACTTGCTGGAGTTCTTGAAACCAATTTTGTTGGATACAGTAGGTGGTCATAAAGAATAAATAATATGTTTGGATATAGCTATCAGTTTGATTATATCTGTTTTCTCCCATTGAGGTAAATTAAAATTTGACCATGCTCATGTGTTTTGTTTTGATCTCCAACAGTGAAAGAGGTCATTTGCAATATTTTTAAAAAATACATTCCACATATAGAGCAATCTTCAAATAAAATTGATAGGTACTCCAGTGTAGTTTTAATTAAACAAATAATGTTCCAAATCTTTTTCTAGCCACAGAGGATGGTCCAGAAACAAACATTGAGCTTTGTTAGTAAAGAGAGCATATATTTAATTTTACTTATATAGGTACAATTCAGTAGTAAAATATTTGCTTTAAAAACAATTTTCTAGAGGTAATCCTATTTAATATTTGTGAATGCTAACAGTGAACATTTATTCTACTTCTAAAACAGCATTATTGTTTTCATATGAAAAGGAAGATTTTTAGTTTTATGCTTTTTTAAATGAGGCTTGTTAAAGCCTCATTATTTTCTGAGATCACAAAGAATTTTCTAATAAAGGTCGTGAAAGAGTATAAAAAGAAATCTTAAACAAACCTAATATTTTTTAAATATTATTTGCATTTTTCAAAGAATTTAGAGACTCCAAGGCTAAAAACAACTCAGAATGTGATTAGATCTGAATAATGTGAGACAATAATTTTCTAATTACTAATTAAAAATCGTGTTTCTTGGACAGAAGGATCTTGACTAGGATATTGAATTTCAGCTCTCATTCAATCCTAAAAATAAATCTAATCAGGAGGACTTAGAGTTATTATTTAGCTTTCAAATAAAATTTTTTCTTTTGATGATTTCTGCTAGGTACATTAGTTATATATAAAAATTGAACCCCCAATTGTTAAATTGCCAGTTCTAAAGAATAAGCTAAAAGAGTAAATGTTGTCATTTTTAGTACAATAAAAGAATTCAATGTATGGAACAGACCCGAATTTAATATGCCTAAATTTGGTTTTTCAAAACAAAGATTGGAAGGTATTCTTTAAAAAATGTCTAAAGCAGGGGTCAGAAGCAGGCATTATGGAATATTCTACGATAGTTTTCCTCATTAAATAGTTTATACACACTCATGCAGCTGAGATGGACACCAGAGAGCCCTTGGGGTCTTGTGAAAAATACAGAAGTTTAGTGGCACAAACTTGGGATTGAGAAAGGCCAGCTTAAAGCTATGTGAAAAAGAGGCCCACAAGTCTTCTGGTTTATTAAAGATCTTTAATCAGAGAGCATGGATTTAGATGTCGTTAATCAAACCTCTTTGTTTAGATAAAGTTTGACCTTAACACTCACAGAATTGAAATATATTGGCTTAAGGTACAAAATACTTTAAGATAGGGTAGATAACAAAATGATAGCTGTCCCTGTGCAAGCATTGTACTTAGCATATAATTATATTCTTCCGCTTAATGCTATGACAATCTTGTGAAATTCCATTTTACACATTAAGCACTGGGGCCTGGGGGAGTTGAAGAGCTTGTCCAGGTTCACACAGCCAACTGGGAAGTGGCAGAGCTGGGATTTGAATCTTTATATGTGTTTTACTTACTGTGTGCTTCCTGTGCTCCCTCAAAGCATTTGACTTTGTAGGATTCTTAACAAAACTCATTTTTTCATTATTTTCATTTTAAAATTTCTTTGCTACTATGTGTTTGATTAGTAAGTAATCCATTTTGGTTTCTAGATCTATTCTGGTGATACTTGTGGAAAGTATCTCAATTTTCCTTACTGGTATTTTTCTCTCTTCAATAAGTGTGAGATGGGAAAATATAAGGTAGGAAGAAATTAATATACTCAGTTGTTCTCACATATTATTTTTGTTATGAATTTGAGCTAAGATGTCTATTGCCTACTCTTCTCCAAACTGTTGTGTATTCTTAACTCTTTGGCTCTCAGGATTTGAAGATGGGCAAATCCTTTCTCTTAATTCAACAGATATCCATACAGGTATATTTTCAAGAGAATTTAAAGAAAAAACTAAGGAAAAGTGGTTCAAAACAAAGAATAGATGAATATACAGAGCATTAAAATGTATTATAAGCTGAAAAACCTTACTTTTTAAGTCATACTTAACTGACTGATTACCTATCCTGCCAGAACTATGGAGAAAATGGTATTTTCTAAGCCATTTCTTTTCATTTTAATCTGCAGCCACTAGTAGGAAAACGAAGGGACACTTATTTTCTTTCCTTAAAAAAGAAAAGGAAAGAATCTTCTGGGATGCCATATTTAATTTCTTCTTAATTGGGTATACTGGAAACAGTGTGGGCTCTGGCCTTACAAACTTGGATTTTAATTTTGGTATGGTCACAAAGAGCAATTTTGATTGAATCCTTTGTCCATTAAATGTTCATTTTCCTCCTGGTTTTGGAACGTGGCAGAGATTAGTATGTATAACAGGCTTTGTAGTCATAAATCCTAGCTGCTTCCAAAGTGAACTTTAGTGAGCTATTTATAATTTTGAACCCCAATCTTCTTTTCTGTAAAATGAAGGTAATAAAACTGAGATGGTATGAGACATACATGAACTTACGTATGTAATTGTCACATAATGCCTGACACATGGTATTCAAACCTTTTATTTTTTACAAACTTTATTTTTATTTATGGTTTAAGTACCTCTGTAAAAAATGAGTTTCAGATACCAAATAAAACTTCAAAATAGATCTACTTTTTAACCTTGCAACATGATTAGTATGCTTTAATTTATATTAGTGTGCCAGAGGAATGAGCCAGGTCTAGTATAATATTTTTATCATAAAATCAAAGAATATTAGTGGTGGAGAGAACCTTGTCTTTTTTAGTTAAATGAGTTTAATTGTGTATTAGAGAAGCTAGATTTCTTTCTCTAAGCCATACAGCTTGGAGAAAATAGGCATCAGTACTCAGATCTCTTTGTTCATGCAACATTTATGGAGATTTCTTTGATGAACCAGGCACTGTACTAGGTCCTGGGGATATTATCTCAGTCCTCAGATTGCTCATAGACACTTACAGGCAGGTAAACATTAAATTTAACAAGGTAAGTACAGTGATACAGGTATGCATATTATACTGTGGAGAATAAAGAAAGGCCACTGTTTCGTGTGGAAGTTTCCTAGAGGACTTGAAATTTGAAGGCATTGTAAAGCATCAATAACTAAAAATTTCAAAAAATTCTAGATCCTGTTTGGTTCACTCTCATTCATTGAAAGATTGATAGCACCAAGATCACTATTTTTTCTATGTTTACTACTTTTATTAGTGACTCCAATGTTACTGTGTATAATCGACCTGTCTTTTAAATTTCTTAATATCCTCACTTCTAATCAGATTTTGTTTTACTTACCTTACTCACCTCCTCCCGTGGTTATGCTCTACATTTTTTTTTCACTTTGATTCTGCCCACCACGATTGACCTTTTCATTTTTCTGTCTTCTATTTCCACACTTTCCTCCTTAAACAATTTAGATTATACAGTCACTCCACCACAAACACCTTTAAATTACATAGCCCTTACCTGTTTTAAACTTGACAAAACCTAATCTTTCTCTTCTACCCACTGCCACCTCCACCCTCAGCTGAATATTGCTGGAGAAAAAGCATGCAATCATTCTTACTGATTCACCTTACTTTAAATCCTTGATCATAAATCTCAAATGGCACTCAGCTCTATAATGTTTGTTTTCCACTCTCCAAAATTACTTATTTCAGAATTTTAACACTCAATTCGACACGTGCTCTGCCCCAATACACTTAGCTAAGCTTCTTACCTCATAAATCATTAGGAAAATTGGACCAATCAGTAGATGCCGCGGTCCAGCCACGACAGGATCCAGGGGGCCCCGAAGGTGGGCAAGGCGTCGGCGCGGGAGACAGTCGACTACACAGCTCAGAGGCGGTGTGACACTGTTCCGTTTTATTGTGATTTGAGTACAACTTTTATACTTTTTATTTTGGCATTTGATTATACTTTGTTGTTAAGGTAGCAGGGAGTTAAATTTCTGTGGTTAGGCGAAGCAGAAAATCTTATAGAGTATATTATTATTAATGTTCATGATTAACTAGTACATTTTTCTCTCAATCATTAGAACAGAACTACCTGATGGAACAATCTAAACTTTTAATTCTTATATCTATTACGTAAGATACAGTTTGATTTAAGTAAAGGTGATAGATAGATGTATTCATAACAGCAAGCATTGGCTTGTGGGCAGACATTGTTCTTCTTTCTGCCTGAAGAAATCTTTTAAATGCTATTTGATTTATGCTATATCTAAAGTTCAAGCTGAACCTTTCTCATAGCTGTTCAAAAGTTTCCTTGGTGCAGTAATGAGGAAAATATTTATAAAAATCAGTTTTACAAAGCTGCTTTCATAAGCTAAGTTTCTGTTCCTTTGTTTTTAAGCACCAAGGAGATCCTGACCTAGCCAGCCTTTCTATGAAACTTAAACTACTATAAGGCACATGAATTCTATCTTTATTCACTATATGTATACTATCTTTATTATAAGCTTCTGTATAAGGCAAAGGAAGATCAGGTAATCTTTTCATACTATTAGCCCCTCTAGGTGGATACCAGAGTTTTCTATTTATCCACTAGGCCACAAAAGGAGGCCCTTCTATAGTAGGCACAGGCTTATGAGTAAATTTCTTATCCTTTACTAATTTTTCTACTAACTGCGTGGGAACAGGAGTATAAACTGGTTCTAGTAATTCAGCTTGTTATAATTTATTCATAATATCTTTAAGAGGCACGTCAAAAGGAATTTCCCTTAATAATTGTTCAAATAAAGGGTTTACGCATTCTGGACACGTCAGGGTGACTAGAGCTGATTCTATACACAGGGAATTTACTATGTTTTCCTCAGCCAATTTTGAGGAAATCCATTTGTATAGCGTTTACACTTACTAGAATTTGTGCTACCCAAATTCCCCCTATTAATAGGATCATTTCTAAGAAACCAATTATCCCTAAACACATGCCACGTCCTCGTTCTTGACGATGCATTCCTTGAAGCCTCTGTCCCCATCTCCGGACCTTGTCACACAGTAGGGTAGAAAGAGGACGCGGCAAGTAGAGAACTCCTTTATCTTTGTATCTTCAGATCTTCCCAGCATATTTGCTTTGTATTCAACCTTTCAATCTGCTTTTCTTTTATATTGGAAGTGACACTTTTTCTGTCAAAGGCTAATTCCCTTCCCTGTGCACTGGCTCTTCTCACCTGTTCAAGGACCCTATTTATCTTCACTTAAATACAGTCATTCCCCTTTAACTGGAGATTTGCTTTCTGTGGTCAACTGCAGTCTGAAAGTAATAAATACAGTGGTTCCCCTTTAACTGGAGATTTGTTACGTGTGGTCACCTGCAGTCTGAAAGTATTAAATGGAACATTCTGGAAATAAACAATTTATAAGTTTTAATTTTATCTCAGTCTGAGTAGTGTGATGAAATCTCATGCCACCCCACTAGGGATATGAATCATCCCTTTGTCTACTATATCCATGCTATATAAGCTACCTGCCTTTAGTCACTTAGGAGCCATCTCGATTATTGGAGAGAGACCACATTCACATAACTTTTGTTATATTTTATTATTGGTTATTGTTAATCTTTACTGTGCCTAATTTATAAATTAAACTATCAGAGGTATGTATGCATAGAGAAAAAATAACATATAGAGTTTGGTACCATCTGTAGTTTCAGGCATCCTTTGGGTTCTTAGACTCTATTCCCCCAAAATGAGAGGGGTCCTGGCATACCTACTTCTTTACCTCCGGTTCTCTCCTCACCCTGCCATAGTTAAACTTCTGTCTCTGCCACCCCCAAAACTGCTGTCGTCAAGGCCACTAATGTCTTCCATATTGTCAAATCTAAGAGTTCTTCTTGCTTTTCATTTTAATATCTCATCATTCAACCCTGTTGACCACTGTCCCTTTCTGAAATCTGTGCCTTGGCTTCCATGATGCCTGGTTTCTTTTGTATTTCATTGGCCACTGGTTTTTGCTAATAGACTCTTCTCCTTTTGCTTAAAATCCAGATGTTGGAATAGCAGAGCATTTTCAGTTTTGGATTTTTTTTTTCATCTATAGTCTTTTCCTTGGTTGATATGATCTTAGCTCTAAAAGCCATCAATATGAAGATAGCATCCAGTTTTATATCAAAAGCTATGACTTTTCCTTTGAACTCTAGACCCATATGTCAAATTGTCTACTTATTATCTCCACTTGGTGTCCTGTGTACTGTCCCATCTTCCTCCCCTTGTCTTCGCCATGTTAGGAAATAGTACCATCAACCCATTTTCTTAAGCCAAACAAATCTCATTGCTTCTGTTTTCAAAGATATCTCTAAAGTTTTCTGCTTATCTTAGTCTTACAGTTTAACAGAATTTTCTTCTCACCTATTGGGGTGGCAGAAGAAGAAGGAAGTAGGAAAAAAGTAGATACTTTAAATCTTCTATGGTAGAATAACCATGCATGTTTGTTAAAAAGTAAACACCATTGAATCTCAGCCACTCAACAATTATTTATTTAAAGCTTACTATATACCATGTACCTTCTGATCTCCCAATATGTCTACCTTGTACTTGACCTCTCAGTCTCCTTATACTGGAATTGTCACTGTTTACCTTCTAACTGGTCTTCTTGCGTCTGTTTTAATACACTATATTCATTCCCCATGCATGATCTGGAGCAGTATTTTTAAAACAATCACATCATGTCATTCCTGTATTTACAATGTTCACATGGCTTCCCAACATATTTAAAATAAAATCCATACTTCTCACCAAGACTGATAAAGCTTCAAAGAAATATGGTATCTGACTGTCTCTGACTTAATCTCTACAATACCAAGCTTACTGCTAATTCAGGAACTTTCTATGTGTTTTCTGTAATGAATTCTTTCTTTCAGGTCTTTTAAGTGGCCAGCTCTTTTTCATTCCATTGTTTAGCACAACTGCCAGCTCTCAAAAAGGCCTTTTTATTTATAGCTCCTAATATAATAATGATCCTTATCCAGTTACTTCACCACACACATTACCTTGCTTGTTTTGTTTTTCACAGTTATAACAGTTTGAATTTATCTTGTTTCAGTGTCTTCTTTTCCCATTTTCCCCCAAAATATAAGTTCTATTAGTGCATATCCGGTGTCTGACTTATTCATTGCTTTACGTTTACAACCTTAAAATAGTGTCTGGTCTGTAGCTCATTTTAAATAAATAATTATTTAATGATTGGAATTCAGTGGCATGTCACTTTTTTAACAAACATCCTGCCACTTCCTAAACATGTAAAATATGTGTACTTTGCCAATTCTCAGTTTTTCAAATAAACAACTCTTATATTCTAATAAAAAATTTGGTCTGGTACTTAAGTAAGGCCTGGTAGTCTGGATTTGTGTACATCTTAATTATTAGATCATTTTTGCTATTTCTTTCTGGTTTGGGTTTTTTTTTTTTTTAAGTCTCTGGATTTCCTACACCTTTCAGTTGTGAAATACCTATTGTAATTTTTAAATAATTGAGTTAAAAGTCGAGTTATATAATTTCTGAATATATTTCTGAATAGTATCTCATATATTCATGCTCTCGAAAGCAAATTTTCAGACATTTACCTTATGCTGATTTAGACCTTGTCTGAAGAAGAGATTAGGTATGATTTGGTGATGTATATTCATATTCTTTCTAGAATTGGGTTGGTATTTCAGTGCAATATCATAAGGTTATAACAATATTCATTGTTGCTAGAGCCCGTTTATTTTTTCACAATTTTATTTTATTTTATTTTTAGGATGGTATATTAGAAGAGCAATTACGAATGTATCTTCACTGTTGTTTGACACTCTGTGATTTCTGGGAGCCAAACATTGCAATTGTCACCATTTTATGGGAATATTATAGTAAGAATCTGGTGAGTAAATAGAATATGAATTTGTTCTTGGAATTTGAAGAATTCTTATACATTTGAGGAATGTTTTTATGGCTTAATTATGAATAGTTACAGATTTTTCAAAAAGTTATTTTTTTCAAAGTAGATCAGAGTAGCTCAAGAATAGTTTTATATCTGGCCCCGTGTATGGACTTATGGAAGACTTCGTGAAGTCATAAATTTTTAACTTGGCCAGAGGAATGAGTGAAGTTTTCCAAATACAGAAGAAAAAGAGCATCCAGGCAAAAGGAACAGCATGGACAAATGTATGGAGACATGAAAAAACATGATCTGTTCCCACTATGTTAAATAGTTCTGAGTGAGAGGTCTGAGATGACTGTGAAATTAAGGAAAATAGAGAATGTAGTCTGGAGGTAAATTATGAAGAGTTGAAGATAATGTGCAGTTGAAATTATGATTTATTTGGGAGACATTAGAAAGCAATCACATGACATGTATGTGTTTGAGAAAGTTGTTTTCTCAAAAGGTTGTAAGTGAATTGGGTACACATAAGTTCGTAATCCAATGTAGTAGTATAAGCAAATAATGCAGGGACAATTGATTTAGAAAGGAGAGCATAAATTTGGAAGATAAAAAAATTTAAAGATAGAATTAAAGGATTTAGTTACCTATAGAACGTGGAGAGATTTGGCATGTTTGGTTTTCTGGGTGTATAAAATCAACTCAAGATAGAAAATGGAAATAGAAAATTTACAAATTTACAAGTAAATTACAAGTTTAGGTTTATACATAATGGAGCTTGTTAAAAATGAGAAAAATAGCTTTCTCTGAAGCATAAGGTCAGGCTGATTAGAGAAATGACCAAATCTAGTTCTGAGACAGAATGTGTACAAGATGAATCTCGATAAATATCTTGTCATAACTGAAAGCAAGGGAAGATATCAGAGTAAGTGGAGTCATGTCAAAAGGACACAGCCAGCTTTTAGGAGTTCCCGTTGCCCAGTGCTGGGTAAATTTGAGCATAAGAAAGAATAATGACTGCTGCAGATTAAAACTTATCAAATATGTTCAAATACTTGTTTATGATGCTTTTAGAAAAATTATTCTGAAAAAAACGCTTATTATGAAAACTAAATTAAGGAAAATATAAACTATATTTTAGAGTGACCAAATTTCTGATGAGCTAATTCAGAAGGAACAATAGAATTAGATAATCACTATTTCATACATCTGACGAAATAAAGCATCTGGGCAATGATTATCAGTGCCTGCTAAAACTGTTAACTAAAAGACTGGTGGGGATCACTAAAATTAATCGATCAGGCTGATAGCTTGATCAATCTTAACATCACAAAAAGAATGATGACCTTTTGTGCCTCTTTACTAATTGGAATAGGAGTACCCAGTACTTACCAAAAAACACCCTGAATCTGATCAGTTTTCTAGATCCAGTTACCAATTTTTAGAAAGATAGGTGATAAAAGTATACATTAAATGACATGAGGGAGATACAAGCATCTAAGTCCAGAATATAGGAAATTCTATACAATAAATGACGGTATAAAAATAAATGGTATGATAAAAGGTTGAGAAACTTACAGAATAAAAGAGCTTTAAGAGGCATATCAACCACGTGCAATGTATATATCTCGTTTGTATCCTAATTTGGACAAACCAACTATTAAGAATACATTTTGGGGATAATCCAGGAATTTGAATACCTCTTGATGTTTCATGCTTTTATGAAATTTTTATTTTGGAGGAATATGTGGTAATAATGGCTGTGTAATTTTTGTGATTAAGATGAGTCAAACTTTTAATGAACTAATTGGGATTTACAGCTTTCCATTTTTATTTACTCAGGGATTTAATAAGTGTTTTCTATCTCTTTTTGTTTGCTTTTAGAATAGTTCTTTTAGTATTTCTTGGCTTCCTTTGAAAGGCCTTACAGATATCGTTAAGTCACCCTTGTCTATGCTAGAAATGGTGAAGACCTGCTGTTGTGATAAACAAGATTATAACCTGTATAAATCCAGAAGTAGTTACACCATTTTCCTTTGCATTTTGGCAAAAGTTGTTAAGAAAGCAATGAAGAACAATGGCACTCATCCTTGGAAACAGGTTAAAGGAAGGTGTGTACCATATCTTTCTCTGTAATGAATGTTCATTGATATCTTTGGAGAAATGTTACTGTTTGTATTTTTTAAGTTAACTTGTGCTTGGAGGTCTTTATGGTTTACACATTTAAAATGTATTCCTTAATGTGGAAAAGCAAAATATGGAGCTTTTTGAGCCTGCCAGTTTTTTATAGTAAGGAATGAACCTAATATCCATAACTTGTGGAAGACTTTAATTTCTTATTTATTAGTCTTAAAGATGGAAATTTCACATATTAAATGCAAGGATATTAGAAGACTTGTTTTTCTTGTCAAAATTAATTATAATGTTATTATGTAACTCATTGTATGCATTTTACTAAAAATTATAAAAGTAACAACCATCTCTAGATTGTACATTAATGAGTAATAGATTCAGCCTATAAACTTTGTGTTCTTTGAGCCCATCAGTCCCACAAGCCCTTCATTTTTAAATGAAAACTAACCAGAGTGTAGTAGAACCAAATAACTCTAATGTTCTCATTTGGGGAGTATGTCCAGTTTTTATTTCTGGTATGGTAAAATAAACTTTTGGTCACACTTGTCTATTCTCTTTTTTTAGAGTTTTATTTGTTACATGGGTATGATTTTTAATTGTCTTCCCTTGTCCTACTTCCTTTGCTTTTCCCAGCTCTTTTCCCAACATTCTTTATGTATACACTGCCATCTACCACTTACTCTCCTTATGGAGTAGGAGTTCTCACAGTACAATACTTTTTATTTTATATGGAGACTTATCAGGAATCACTAAATGAAATACCTACTTAATTCCCACAATGAATAATTTTAAGAAGGTTATAGTGAGGCAATTTGGATTTTTTAATTTAGATTATACATTTTTAAAATGGTAACTTCTTTGTTAAATCCTCGGTAATTATGTGGCTCAAATAGTTGTTTTCGTTTGCTATGTTTGCCAGTTTGTCTTTGAATCTTAAATCATTTTATGGAAGACATGGGCATGATAGAGGATATAAAGATAATTAAACAGATCTTTGCTTTCAGGCGCTTGTTGGCTCTATTATTTACAAATGAGCATTTAACTGCTCATGAACATTAATCATTTCTATCCTGAAGAAACTAATTACAGAAGTTACAAAATTTAACAATCTTTAAGTAGGAGTCAAAATGAATGAATTTCAATTCTAATTTCTTAATTGATGAAAGAAAAGTACATCAGCTATTAAAGTTATAGTAAGTACTATTGACAAGAGATTTTTAAATGGCTTGTCTTGGATGTTTGAACACTAACAATTTTCTTTTTGAGTAGGTAAAAATAATTTTCTACCACTTTGATTTTTGTTAGGGTATAAGTATAACAGAGCAAGTCTTTGTGAGAGGTAGAGGAAGAGTTTAAGGAAAATTATTATATAAAATTGCCTTGTTAAGATTTCTGTAAAGCACATCAAATTGTATTTAAAGATTAGGTATTTTTATTTGTCAATAAAAATTTTAAAAGAAAGGTGATGGGGGACTAAAATAAAAGGAAAAGTCATATACCATAGGAAAAGAACATTTGGGGAAAGCCACTGAATCTTTCAATTTACTTATAAATGATTTTATGTATCATTGAGCAATTTGAAGGTTAGGGGTATTCTGTTAATTTGTTTTCTAAGTAGAAAAAGTGACGTGACAGCATCATAATGAAGAATTAGCTAAAAATTTAAAGTAATGAGATGTCATGAATATTGAGTGAAATATTATTTTAAAAAATGGATTTTGTGAATGAAAGTTTATTAAAGCAAATTTTTATGTTACAGAATATATTCTAAATTCCATCAAAAAAGAATGGAAGAACTAACTGAAGTTGGTCTGCAGAACTTTTTCAATCTTTTTCTGTTGTTAGCAGCTGTTGCAGAGGTGGAAGATGTAGCAAGTCATGTTTTAGACCTTCTGAATTTCCTGAAACCTGCCTTTATGACATCGTCTCTCATTTGGAAGGGTCAGGCGGCCTTCCTCTTGATGTATACTCAGAAAAACCTGGATATTGGTGTTTTGGCTGAGAAATTTTCACATGCTTTCCAGGATAAAGCAAAGGAGTTCTTGGTATCTAAGAATGATGGAATGGGACAAAGACATACTCTCTGGACACTTATTTCTATCTATATTGATAGTGTTCAAGAAGTGTTTGAGACTAGCCATTACTTGCATTCTTCCCATGAAAAACTGCTTAATGATGGATTTAGTATGCTTCTCCGAGCTTGTCAAGAATCTGAACTCAGGACAGTATTGAACTTCCTACAAGCTGTTCTAGCCAGAATCAGGTATGTTTTGCAGTAATGTGCTAATTTATTAATTTGTTTTAGGTCATAACTATGTTGATCCTATATTAAAGTTTTCCTTTTGACATACTAATGAAATCCAAATGTAGAGAGCGGTGTTGGCGTTACTGCTACTTGGGCATAAATCAATGGGCATAATTTTTTTTTTACACCTACGTCACCTGCTATTCCTAGGTGGTCTCCCGTCCAAGAACTAACCAGGCCCGACCTTAGCTTCCAAGATAAGACAAGATCGGACATGTTCAGGGTGGCTTGGTCGTAGACTATAAATCAATTTTCAAACTGTTCTTTCAGACAGTAGTTCTTTAGAAGAAAGCTTATATGCAAACACATATAAACTTGGAGCAACTCTGTGCAGTTCTAGAGCTATGTTTTTTCACCCCTCTTTTCCTTTTTACTTCTCCTAAAAGAATATTATTATCTAGAGGTATGTTTCAGATATTCTAAGCAAGATCATGAGCTCAGACCTGAGGTGGCTTTACTGAAACATGTAATTTAGTGCCCATAAGATTTTGAGTATACCATACCATTAAAAAAAAAGTAACTTTCTTTAAATATTTTGCTATGGAGTTATAGCCTCAATTGCATGAAATACTTTCAGCTAAAATTTATTCTGAGATTAAGGTAGAATTGTTATAATATCCATCACCTATTCAAAACTTACATTTTTCAGATCTACTTAAATTATACAAATGTGCAGATGCACTCAGACTGAAACAGTAATGAATAGGAACAATGGTTGTGGCATTTATTGCCTTTAAGGTCCTTTTCACATAACTTTCACCTTCGAAATATATTTTCAAGAAGTTAGATGCTACCACTCAATGTAGTTAGTCAATGTCTCTGAAAAGTGTAAAAGTTATGTATAGAAATATGATTTAATTTGAAATTATGTCTGAAGTTAATGGAGACATTGCTTACCTTTTCCTAATACCACATTAGAAAAGTAGCAACTGTTTTTATTACCAATTTTATTTTTTACTAATTTACTTAATTTGCTTCATGTTGGTCTGTGTGTTCATACTTATTAAATCCAAAGGTTTTCATTTCTCATTAGGTTTTATGTAGCTTTTACGTTCATTTGCTCTCATCAGTCTAAGTTCTAAAGGTTTAGCCAGGGTTCTTGATCAGATAAGCATCTCCTTCTCCCCGAGTGTTAGCTATATTAAAACAAGAATCTCAAAGCTCTCAGTTTTTGGATAGATGGATAAGTGAGCAACCAACTTCATTAGAAGCTTTGACTAATTCTGGATCTGCTCCACACACTATTTTTTGTCTCCTAGAGTTTATTAGCAGATATTATACTTTCTCAAGTGTAAAATTCATTTTGTAAGTGGTATTTCTCTGAGCTTCTTGGGCAAAATTAGAAATTTCCATATTTCTGGTACCAATTTTGGTTTATTTATATTTGTCTGGATATACCAAACAAGAAGGAAGAAGAGGTTGCTGGTCTAAACCATCTCGGTAATAAAGAACTATAGCTCCGAAAGATATAGAGGCAAAGGAGTAGAACATGAAGCAGGGAATATGGGCATCTTGGGAAGGAGTACTCATGGAAACCAAAAAGCAAAATCTGCGTATCTTTCTGTCTTTTCCACTGAAGATTGATGTCTCTTAATCATCCTAACTATTGTATTGCTTCTTAATTACATAGTTTATTTTTTTTTAAACAGAGATTCATATCCTACAAATACTATTAAATTTTAGAAATTTGGGGGAATCTTTTTCTTGTTAAATTTTCTTTAAATTGTGAATATAATATATATTGTCATTATAAAAATGGTAAAAGAAAAAAAATGAGGTGTAAGGGGGCAAGTAAAAGTTCTCTCCACCTTCACCCTTTTATCCTCCAGTTCAGTTCTTCTTAATTAGGGTGAGTTTGTCCCTCAGGGGACATTTGGTAGTGTCTAGAGAAGTTTTTGATTGTCACAGCTAGGGAGGGTGCTACTGGCATCTAGTGGGTAGAGATCAAGGGATACTGCTGAATGTCCTGTAAATGCACAGGATAGCCCATACAACAAAGAATTGTCTGGTGTAGCCTCCGTGATGCTAAGGTTGAAAACGTTGCTCTAGTTCTACTCCACAAAAGTAAAATGGTTTCTTGCAGAACCTTCCAGACCTTTTCTCATTTATAGGCTTAAAAGACAAATTGTTTTGCAGCCTCGTTTTTTCAGTTAATATTTCCTTAACAGCTTTTAATGTTGGTATTTGGAGACCTAATTTTTTTAACGGCTGCGTTAGTGTTTTATTTAATATATGTATTAAACTTTAACCAATCTTCCAATAATGAATATTTATATCGTTTGCCATTTTGTTATAAACACAGTTTTATTTAACATCTTTATTTATGTATTCTCTGTGTACTTATGAAAGTATATCTGTAGATTAATTCCTAAAAATACGTTAGTGTATATGTATTTAAATATGGATGGATATTACCAAATTTCCTACAAAAAATGTTTTGTACCAGTTTTTACTCTCCTTAATAGTGTTTGAGAAAAAAAAAAAAAAACCTCATTTCATTTTTTAGATTAGTGAATGGGATATATTTAGAAAACATGCATTCTAAGGTATTAAATACTTTTAGTTTTGGTTCAACATTTGTTGAAAATATTCATGGAAACAAGGTAATAGGAGAATGAGACTTATTTTGAAGGTTGGAGAGCCTTTTAAAATGGAAATACAAAGAAAGTAGTAAAATAAGAAATTATGAATTAGAAGATAGTTAAATAAATGAAATCTGTAAACTGTTTGCAAACCTCAAAGCATTACCACTACTCATATACTGCGGAGTGTCTTTGCCTTTTATTTATGCTTCTAAATAAAGGGGTGGTTGCTCATTGGGGACTTTGTTTTTATAATTTTGCAAGTTACGCATTTTTTTAAATGAGTCATTAGTTGCAAAGAATGAGTCACAAGGGGGTATGGAGACAAGCAAATCACATTTTATTTATAATAATTTATTTTTAGCACCATTGCAACTATCTAAATTTCACTTCTTGTAATAAAAACAAATATTTGCTCTTTAAATTCAACTTAATGTTGAAGGACTGCATTAATTAAAGCAAAGTTATTTCAGGAGTGTTGGGAAAAATATTGCTTGCAAGTATCTGTGAACTATAAAGCTTCTCTGTTAATCCATGGAGGGTCACTATTCAGAAGTCCAGAGGTAAGAATCAAGAGGCATAATAAAGACTGTCGATTATATAGATGAAAGTAAGTTAACATTTATATTAGTACTTTTTACCTAGAACTTAAGTTTATAGTTTGCTGTCGTCTGGAGCCAGGGAGGGGAGAGGCAAGGAATATGTTGTTCTTTAGGATTAACTTATGAAAAAAGACATAAATAAAGTTCATGTCGATCACATTTAATTTTTTGCACAAATGTTATTTTTGGTTTTGTTTTATACTGTTCAACTATGATTGAAAAAAATTGCTATAAGTGAATATCAGATTATGGATAACTTGTTGCCAAAATTATAGAGCAGTTTTAAGAGATAGAAGTATGAGATCAGTGTGTGAATAATATGTAGTAATGTGCAAGTCTTAATTGATGCTGTTATAGTTTAGACACTGTCATCTCAAATTTCTGAAGCTTACATAGTAATTTGCACACAGAACTCAATGAAACTGATGACAGTATATAATAAGAGGGGCTGCGAATTGGATAGTTTGATTTTATTCCATCTATCTTGTGCACTGCCAAGGCAGATATTGTCAAGACAGACTTAGTTTGGAATCTTTGGGGAAAGGACCCCAGAGATCATTCAGGATTGTTTACCTTAAAAAGAAAGAAGAAAGGGAGGCAAGGAGGGGAAGCACAAGAAAAACTCCTTTAGGTATTTAATCATAGAGATGTGTTCCTAATTTCTTAACCCAAAATCTGGAAATTCTTTGAAGATCTTTTCATGAGTGTCTTGGTATGCTATAATATTATTACTATTACTATTATTAGAAAGTTCAAAAACATTTTGAATAGTTGTTAAAAATTAAAGCATAGGCTTTTTTTTCCTTTTAAGAACACAGCTAAATTCTTTGAGTGTTGGTTTAGATAAGGAAGATGGTTACATAGATTGATGATATTTATTCCTCGCTGTATCCCTGACAAGGGAAAGAATGAAATACTTTACCTTAGCAATCTTTTCTGTTTTCAAATTCAGGTGGGAATAAGGTACCAGTCCTTGCATAAATATGTGTGCAGGATGTGTGAGTGTGTGTTGAACTGGGTAATAGTTTTATAACTATATGACAGAGAAATTATAGGTAGGCAGGAACTAAGATCACTGATTAAAGAGAGAAGCGGCTTCCTCTAGGCTGTTAATAAATAATAACTTTATATGCCACTTTCTGCTAACTGGAGCTGATGGCTCACCAGAGCATTCTTTATTGCTGATTAAGTAGCATTGTGAAAATAGTGACTTGGTTATGTTAACTAAATGCCTCCGTGTTTAAAACTTCGAATGTCAAATAGTTTTAGCAGTCATCTTTAACATTTTACATTACCTTTCTGGAATCACATTTCTGGTTCTCACTTGCTGTTATTTGAGGTTAATAAAAAAAATGCCAGTCTTTCATTTGTGGAGTTAGGTGTAGCCAAAAGCTTTTCTTTAATTATATCCATTCATGCTGCAATAGTTAAGGGTCTGTCAGCATTTCCATTAGAAACCTCCATTTTCAAGGTTTTATAACACAGCTATGAAAATTAGCTCTGGGCAAAAACTTGACATACAAGGCCTCATGAGACTCTCCCTCCTCCCCATCCCCCTTATTCATTTTCACTGAAGTAAGGGTGAGTGACTTCAAAATGCCTTTTGGCATCTGCAAATATCATTTGGAGTTTAAAAAGAAACAATAAATTTTTAGGTTTTGTACCTGTTTGTTCTATCACTTAAGGGAGGTTGTGGACTTATGAATTTAAGCCAAATGGATATTGATCAACTGACATCCTATTTTGTTTTTAACAAGTGCCTGGTTTCAAGGAA